CACTGATTTCAGAGGGACTCCAAACGAAACCAACGTTTTGGGTTGTCCACTACTTTCGCCCGCCCATATGATCAGTGCACATGGACAGCTCTCAAGCGACTAATGCTCCCATGACAACGCGACATCATGTTCGAGAGCGGGCTATATCCTTATTCACTCTTTACTTGGGTGTTCGGCCAACGCAAGTTGCTGCATGTAAGTCCCCCAAGTGGAGCTAGCAACCCGGAGCTGCTTGCCAACTTGGCCTTTCCAAGCATCAACCCACCCATAAGGCCTGAACGGCTTGTGCGTGGCAAACCATGCTGGGTTCTTCGAAAAAAAGCCACCCATCCGCTCCCGCCCAAGTATTTTCCCCATGCAACCCCCTAGCTCCCCAACTTCAATGTTGTCAAGGAGCGCTTTGACATCTCAGCACATGTGCATCTTTCCACAGGCTTCGCGAACAAGGGGCGCGTCCAACTTTGAAGTTGGGGGGGCAGTTTGGAAAGATGGGCGTTTTGAAAGGGCAGGCTTCGCTGCTTTTGTTTTTTGTGCGGAGGGAGACTTGCTCAGACCCTTTGGTCACCGCTTTGAAACAGGGCTCCCTAAGAGATACATTTTGCCCAGTTGAAACATGTTTTTTTCCACCAAAATAAAGGGAAACCACCATTTACAAGGCAATGTTCAGGTGTAGAATGTAAGGATCCCTGTGAAACACTCTTGGTTTTTCCGCTCGGTTTTTTTTTGCCAAAAAGGGAGTCTTGAAAGCCTGAACGCCTCGCGGATCTTCGATCGCTAGGCTGGCTGAGCATGGCTCAGCTGGAGGAGGGCATCGAGTGCCGGGGGTTGCGGGGTTGTGGCCCTGGGACCCGAGGTAGACGTGGGGCGTGTCTCCTTGTGTTGGCTACCCCCGTTTGGCTCGCGGTGCGAGAGAAAAGAGAAAAGCAAAAGACCGACGCCTTGTCTTCTTTCTCTTTTTTTTAACACCTCCTTTTTTGTGTTTTTCGTCGGGGGGCCTCCTTTTTGATCCATATTCCCATTTGGGGCCCCCCAGTTTTGACCATGGGACTCATAGGTAGTTGATTCCCCAGAGTCGCAGCTTTCGGCCCCGGAGAAGCCTTCGGGGGCGAGCGCGACAGGTACCTCCGCCCGTGAGAAAGCTCGGTTGGAGGTGCGGCTGGCGGGACTTGGAGATGTACTTGAGCGCAATACAAATCACCGAAGAGCAACTGGGAAAAACAAGTGGTACGAATTTATATCCAAGTTGTAGTTCAAATGTACAACCGCGCCGAGGTTCCCCACCCTGTGCCACCGGGCGCGGAGAGTATCCGCTTTCTTTCCCAGTCCAAATGTGGCTGCTCTTTTTTTCCTCTTTTTCTCCGAGACCCTTTGTGGGGTTTGGTTTTAAGGAAGCGAAAAGGACCATTATCAGTTTGGGGTTCCACAACAAAACATTTCTTGACGACCCATGTCTTGCAGGCCTTTTGGTTGTTGGCTGGATATTTTCTCATGGTGAAATAACCATTGTCAGAACGTTCCCTCTCATGACCCGCTCTCTTGGACCTCATCATTTTCCCCGACCAGCGAAGAGTTGACCTTTTGCGGGTCTCTGCACTGCACATGGTCAATGCCAAGTGATTCCAGTTCCCACCGAAGTAAGAAGGTCTTCACATTAACAATCCCATACCCGAAATGACGTATTCCGCCTACACGCCACAAACACGGAAGGATTTTACCTGAACCCTCGTTTCCCCAATTTGAAAGCACTGAGATTGCATGTGCATACGGTCACATACACCGTTTCGATACCCCCCCCATGTTCGAATTACCCTCGCACCAGCTAACATGGAGGTGCACAGACCCCTGTAAGACGACTTTCCTCTTGGTTAGTTGGCCTTTTTGCACAGACCCATGTGGCTGTGGCTCAAAAAACCGGTACCAAAACGGAACCCTGGTAAGTGAAACATGGACCAAAACCTGCGTAACCCCTGCTGTTTAATTTTGAGCCACACCCATGTTAGTTGCTGGAGTACCTTTCACCAAACGGGATTAGCTTGTTTTGTGGCCACGTCTGAAGCCTCGGGGCTCCGAAGGCTTTGGCCTTTGGGGCTAGCGCTTGGGACTCATGCAAAGCTCGCTGGTGCGCAGGGCATGACCCGGGGGTTGGGAATGAACCGTTTTGGGCCTCCCTTAAAGGAGACCACCAGTTGGATGTTTTTTTCATGCTTTTTCCTCTTTTCGGGCTCATTCCATTTCTCATTCCCTGCCTGTCGAACCAGCAAGAAAATGTGAGGATGTTTCACCTTGGGAAAGAGGGTACTGTGCTTTACCTCAACCTCCCTTGCCCTTCTTGTTTGTAGAAGGTTTATCGGATCAAGCACAAGGAAGACATCAAAGAGGCACTAGGTAGTTTTTGGCCAGGGGTCCAGCAACTCGCCAGCCACCTGGCCAGCCCACTCGCCAGCCAACCATCCAAGGAAGTAATGGACAAAGAAGCGAAGAAGCAACTAAACGCCAGCAAACAAGCAAGTAAGGCAAGGCAGGGCAAGGCAAGGCAAGGCAAGGCAAGGCAAGCTAGCAATCCAGCAACCAATCAAACACGCAATGAAAAGCACAATTCAACCAACAAACAAAGCAACGCATCAGCAAAGCTGCGCGCCAGCCAAAAACAATCCTGCAACAAGTCATTCATAGAAAAGCAGACACCAGGAGTGGTGGAGCTTCCCGATTTTTCCCAGCGCCTCTGTGCTGGAAATCCCGGATTGCCAGCCGGGACGCCCAGGTATGGGGGTAGGGCCCTGGGGTTTGCGGCTCGTGGAAACCATCTAAGAGTGGATAGACAAAAGCTGGCAACAGTGATGGATGAAGCCCTGTGAATACTGGAAGAAACGGCAGACCCACTGGCGGGAGGGGTTCTGGAGCCTATGTGGCTATCCGGGTGTCGCTACGACCGAACTTGACCTCTCGGAGAGGAGTCCTTGCTTAAGTCCATGTCATATTTCTGGCTGGTGACAGTTTGCGCTCCTACTTGGGTGTTCGGCCAAGTTAAGTGTTTGGTATCCTGGGTTATAGTCCACTTAGAAGTCCGCCTAAGCGGAGTTACCCCTGCTACTAGTGGCTTCTTGGCTTCTTACCCAAGTGGCTAGTCACTACCTACTAGGCCAAACGCCCAAATAGGGGATAGCCTTAATTGCTGTGAATAGCTGTGGCAAGGAGAAAATTCCTTTAGGATCCCTTTGCCATGCCTTGGTTTTCCTTGTCGCTGTATTGGGAATGACGCTGACGGTGCTCAGTCACCCGCGTTACAGCAAGTGTAAAGAAAATCCCTTTACCAAGTTGAGATGACTCAAACTGCTGATCCCCGAAAATGAAGATTTTGAGGGGTTCTCAGTTCTCAAGATTACCTTTGAACCACAATTTTAGCTCGGGCATTTGTTTGAGGCTATTGACGCGAGTTTAACGCATGCCCTTTTTTGGGCCAATGCCGGTGAGCACCCCAACACCTGCATCCAGTGTCTTTTGTGGCTTCCCTGCAACGCTACGGTGCAATGTTGCCCTCAAAAAGCACAGGACAATCACCCTGTTTCATTGTTTCAGGGACAGGTTTCCACTTGGGGGAAAACAAGTGTTTTTTTTGTTTTTTGTTTTTTTTACCTCCATTTGGGTTCTCTTTTGCCTTGTCGCTGTTTTCGCCGTTTTCCATCTCTCGTCGCCTTTTCCGCTTGGACGCCTGAGGATGTCGGAACGGCATTGGCCCGACCGAAAAGGATCGAGCGCCATGCCGCGGTGTAGCGCGAGCGCACGGGACGGGGGGTCGTCCGGTTCCTTAGGTGTGTGGGTGTTTTGGGGGTTTTGGTAGGGATGTGCATTTAACCCACTAGAAGAGAACCATTTTAGCAGGGGATCCGAAAACGGACCGCCCAGGGTATGTCTCCAGGATGGCACTGCAAACAAAAAGGGGAGCGAGGCCTAGGGCTTCCCAAGACACCTTCTGAAGCGGAAGCGCCAAGGACGCCCGCGAGCCCTGGAACAGCTTGTAGCCCTTTATGGGGCCTTGAATATATCACATTGTTGCGCCGGTTGAGTGTGTGAGTTCTGGCGTGTCTGTGTGTGTGTGTGTTTGGGTGATGGATATAGTCTTGACGGACCCGGGCGTACATACTATACTAGGCCTATTTGAGTTGTGCTTTGCTCTCTGTCAGGAGTTTGTAGAGCTCGCCAGGGCGGCATATTCATCGGCCGTCATCATCGGCCGTCAAATGGATACCAGTCTCATGCTGTGTGACCCGCAAAAGAAACGGAGGCCCTCGCTTCGGCTGTCCTGGTTTTTGAGAATTCACCCCGCCAAAAGCACACGGGGCATGTGTGTACCCGGCGATGGGCAAACTAAGCCGAGGACGGGTCTCTATTTTTGGAAACACCATGGCTCCAGAGGTTTGCAGGGCCCAGTTTGTAGAACAACAGAAGCCGCTGGTCTGGGCATTGAATTTTGAGGCGCACCGAAAGCAGCATGGTTGAGCCTGGACCAGGCCAAGGTAGGCTCACATGGTTTGTAGTTGTCGCGCCACACTTGGCTCACAGTCAAACTTGGCGCTCAGCGCCATACTCCGTGGCACAAGCGCCAGAGATGCGAGCAAAGCGTAGCTCCAAGTGTTTTGTACACTGTGGAATTCCCCACCAGCAGGACCGCATGTGCCAGACGAATTCGGGGTCATTTTGGGCCGTCCAAGAAGCCCGGAATGGGACTGAAGTCCCCCTACTAAACACCCCAAGCCAAGGGGATGGGCAACTTTCTGGTCCAGACGCTCGCAAAAACGCACCCGGCACAGGGGTCTGTCAGCTTCCCAGTTTGTTGGGACCTCCGAAGGTGATGGACAGTGCAAGCACAGCGCTGGATCAGTGGAACACATCAGCAGGAATGACCCACTTGTGCAAAATTGAAGCAAATGGTCGCATGTTGTTGGACACCCTGTCCGAAAAAGATACACTTTCCAGAAAACCAACCTCCAGCCCCCCCCCCCCGCCGCCTTAGATCGCCCGAGCCGGGCGAATCTCGTCGTGCAGCACCAATTTTCTGCCTCCTGGGGCGAGTAGGCGCGGCAGCTTTGATCGCGAGGTGGTGGTTTGGGCACCTCTTCTCGGAAGACCAAGGAGTTCATCGCGGAGAATTGCTGTCCTCACTTGCAAGCACCCAGGGTCTGTGACATGGTCGTTGTTGGGACGCATTTTACATTTTTGCTTCTGGTGGTCTAGTGGGAAATCCAACAACTTAACTGCTAAATTTGATATTTTGCTGCCCTTCCAACGTCAACCAAGGTGAGAGGAAGCAACCCCCCCCTCGTTAGTGCTACTTTTCTATATGTCGTCCCACACCCCGTTAGTGCTAGTTTCCTGTATGTCATATTGGGGCGTCGGCCCATCCCGAAGCTTCTGCATTTTGAGCGGCTACCGCCCCGAGGTGCTTTTGATGGGCGTCTTCCCTATGTAGGTTCTTGTTTTTCTAGGCTGACTTGCAAGCGAATTGGCCTTACGACCCTTGGGATGTTCAAGTTTTTGCAATTTCTTGATTTTGTCAAGGTCCCATCTTTTTGGAAGGGACCATTTCTTTGTGAGTGGGAGGCAGGGCGATCAACATCCTAGAGAGAAGTCCCAACCCCACTCCATCCCACCCCACCCCATGAACCTGTCGGATGAATAGGAGTGTTTCTCCTCCACAAGTGAAGTATCCCGCCACAACATTCTGGGTCAACAACAACCCCCGACAGCAAATACCCAGTGCTTGACATGATACCCAAAAAAACCAGTGGGTATTTGGCGTAGCCCCAAGCCCTTTCCGATCCGATCAGGCCGATCACCATGGATATCGGCAAGCGGATGATGGAGAAGTGGGGCTGGGCCAAGGCCGGACGCCCGCGGCCGCTCCTTTTCGTTGGCACGCCGGGTGCGGGGGGGGAAATAGTGTTTTTTGGGGGGGTTCTGGGGAGGATGCAGGTGGAGAAGCAATTCTGTGTTGTTAGGAATGCACTCCTAAAACACATGTTTTCCCAAGCGGTCACTTTTTTTCCAGTAAAGAAGAGGATTTTCCCGTACTACCTCTGTCCTTGTGGTTTAACCATCACCTTTTGGGCCAAGTTAAGGCGAGCTGTTCAGTTTTCTTGGTGGGACACCTTTCTAAGGGGAATGTTGGGACGCCTGAATTCTAAGGAGGAACTTTCCCATTCTCTCCATGGATTCTGCTTGCCAACCAGCCAAAACCAAAGGGGGCCGGTTTTTCAAAAGAACTAGGGGTCAGCGCCCAAGGGCAATTCTGGACCTCCCCAAGGCGGCAATTTTCAGGCAACCCCGCCAGTAAACTGCAACTTTTGAAGGAAATCCAGTGACCCCTGAAAGATCCCCCTTGTCTACCCTTGTACCTGCAAGCACCTGCCCTCTTTGGGCGTCACTTGGTCTCAACATTGGGGGAACTTTTGTCGCCGCTCTTCAATCAATTTTGTGGGATTTGGGAACCCCCCCCCGGAACCTGTACGATGGTTAGTTTGGATAAAAATCGATGGATTCCACTGGTTTGGATTGGTTTTGTTTCTCATCCCCCCCCCCCCCGGGGGAAAAAACACACAAAAAACGCTTTTTTTTGGCCCCCAAAGCAACCGGCCAGATGCCTGCAGCTTGGTCTTTTTCGGCTCTCTCCATTTCTCCAGGGCCAAGGCCTGGGCAAGGACAACCGGGGCATGACCAGCTGCCTGGCGCGGCGGCCCGGTCGGCGAGAAACAAAAAAACGCGTGTGAGGGGCGTTGCGAGGTGCTGAAACACAAAACGGCCACGACAAAACAACCGCCCAGGAGTTTGGCTGCTCCCCTGGTTGAGACACCCAACTTTGGCTGCTCTGGTTGAGAGGGTGCTGGGACACCACGACAACGACAAAAAACAACGCCCAAGAGTTGGGCTGCATTTTTTCTTCTGGGAGACCACGACGACGACGAAAAAAACACCCAAAAGTTGGGCTGCTCTTTTTTTTCTTCTGTTTGAGAGGAACACCCATCAGGCAGTCTTCGGCTGTGATCCTTCTCGCTTTTCCGGGCCGACAAGCGAGCCGCCAAGCAAGCCGACACGGGCGATGTTGGGTCGCGGCTGGGAAGCTCTGGCCGCCGAGAAGTTGTGAGAAAGGAGTCCCTGAGAGCCGCGTTTGCTGGAAGCGTGTCTTGAACAAACGCGTGAAGGCTGAGTTGGTCGTATCGGGTTCGGAAAAAAATAGCAAACTGTCAGAGGCTTATCTTTTGGAAAGAAGAGAGTGGGACTGGCATTCAATTTCGGGCCGTGATTCCTCCTTCCTGGAAATAGCTGACTAGTTGGTTGACCTTGTTAATCCATCCGTTCCTTGGATAAATTCTCGAGACTTACCGAGGACACCTCACCGCTTGGTCAACGTAGACTTAGACCCCAAAACTGGCTGGCTTCCTTCTGCTCTCCTGGCTAACCCTTCCCAATGTGCTTATTTTCCTCGTTGGCCAAACAGAAATCAGAAGAACCTGAAACCACGAGTTCCTTCTAATCAACGTGAGCTTGGATCTCTTGGCGTAGCATCCGAACACCATTTGTTCGAAGCCACTCGAGTCACCCGAGCTTTTGGTGTAGCAACCCGGGATCAGAAGCCGAAAGTTCAGTCTACCAACTCGAGGTGGGTTTGCGCCTTGTTTTGGGAAGGGACCCAAACCCCAAAAGGCGCAACGGCTTTCCGTTTTGGGTTTTTCTTTTAAAACCCACAAAACATGGGTACTGTACCTCTTGGTTTTCCTTTTGGTTTTCCTTTTGGTTTTCCTTTTGGTTTTCCTTTTGGTTTTCCTTTAAAACCACAAACAATGGGTACCCACTCAAAGGAAAGACGAGCCACCCAGGTTGGGTGGCTCATCCAACGCCTCGAGGTGCTGCGGAAGGATTCGGGCAGCACCACCCAGGGCCGCATCGAGAGCCGCGACCTTGGGATGCCTCGAACCTCGGGCAGGGTCTCAAGCTTGGGTTATGTTTTTTTTGGTGCTTATATGGGGGGGGGGGTATTTTTTTTGGGTGTTTTTTTTTTGGGAGAGGGGGCATCTGGTTTTTGAGTTGGTACCCCTTCTTGGTAGATTTCAAAGGGAAACCAAAAGAAAACCCACATTTTGAGCAGTGTGTCAAGATTGGGACCCTCCGTGTGATTTTTGGTGTTTGTATACCAGCAACCGCCAGCAAATGTTGTGGGCAGTACTTGGTATGTTGGACATTGGGTCAAACTGTTCGGGGGTGGAGGTATTGTATTCGTGCTTTATTGTTATTTGTATGTTTTCGCAGCGGCTTGAATGGTTTGGACATGTGCACACTTGATGCTTGATTCAACCAAAGTTTCAAGCGCCCACCAGCCCAGAACGAAGAACGCCTCGGTGAGCCACGCATGGATAAACGCGGCCTTGTGGATAACCCAAAGGATATGATTTCCGAGTCACTGACCTCCCTGCCAGGGAGGTTTCTGCACTTGATCTTGGGAACATGATCTCGGCGGAACAGTTTGGTTGCCTTCAGGGCCAAGTGAGACTTGTGGCCTTTTCAAGGCCTCGGAAGTGGTCGACTGGCGACTACTTGGGGTGTTCGATTCGCCAAGTCACCCATCAGGGAGGCCCTGCAGCGTGCCTAGCAGCTGACAGAAAAGAAAGTCCGGAGGCCACAGGAACCGCACGCAGGTGGGACAACGTAAGTAGTCCCCCGTGAATGTGGGTTTACCGGGACGCGGTCGTTTGAACGCGTTGGCGAAAAGCAACGCACGCGCTGTGGCAACTCGAAGGCCGCGCCGCCGGCCAAAAACAATGAACGCGCTGCTTTGGCGGTTCAAGGGGCGCGCCGCTGGCCAAAAACAACGAGCGCGCTGCTGTGGCAATTCAAGGGAAGCGCTGCCTCTGACCACAAGTGAAGCGTGCTGTGGAAAATTGGCTCTGTGAGGGACAAGCTACTCCAGGGTAGGCTTCCCCGCGAGTCTCCGGACAGCCTGGTGCTTCCCCGACACCTCTCGGCTGCCCCGGCACCTCCGGCAGCTTCCTTGTGCTTCTTCCAGGCTAAACCGCGGACTCGCCTGGAGAAAACGGCCATTCAAACTTGGCCAAAGATTGTCATATTTGGAGCGAAATGGCTTTGAAGAGCTTGATTCCTGCAGTCTTTGACCTTGTTTCAATAGCTAATTTTCAGAAAACTAGTGCTGACAGCTTCCTGGTGCTTCCTGGTGCCTCGACCTCTCCGGACAGCGGACAGCTTCCTGGCGCTTCGCCGGGATCTCCGGACAGCTTCTTCCAGGCTAAACCGCGGACTCGCCTGGAGAAAACGGCTATTCAAACTTGGCCAAAGAGTGTCATATTTAGAGCCAAATGGCTTTGAAGAGCTTGATTCCTGCAGTCTTTGACCTTGTTTCAATAACTAATTTTCAGAAAACTAGTGGCGGCAACTTTCTGGTGCCACGGGACCTCTCCGGACAGCTTCCTGGCGCTTTGCTAAAACTCCGGACAGCCTCCCCGCACCTCTCCGGACAGCTTCCTGGTGCTTCCCCGGCACCTCCGGCAGTTTCCTTGTGCTTCTTCCAGGCTAAACCGCATGAAGAAAACGGCTATTCAACTTGGCCAAAGACTGTCATATTCAGAGCTAAATGGCTTTGAAGAGCTTGATTTTTGCAGTCTTTGACCTTGTTTCAATAGCTAATTTTCAGAAAACTGGTGCCGACAGCTTTCTGGTGCCTTGGGAACTCTCCGGACATCTCCCTGGCGCTTCGCCACCTCCGGACAGCTTCCTGGTGACATGGAACCAAACTCGGTGGGTGGTGCATGAATCCCATGATGTCCAAGGGTTTCCTAGAAAAAAGTCACACCCAAATACGTACCCAACACCGAGCCACATTCTGTCAGCCCCCAAAGGTAAAAGGACCTGGTTTGGGGCTGATCTTGCAACCCCCGCTTGAGTGTATCTTCGGCTTCCTTTTGTTCCAGAGATGGCGCCCCTTGAATCAGTCGATTGGCCCAGGTTGGGCGAAAACCCGCTTAAACAACACCCAATCGCCTCGTTTAAAGGAAAACCAAAAGGGGGTGGTGGAAGCACTAGCTGTTTGAGCCACGGTTTGAACAAGGGGTTGGCCCACATTTGGCCATTCCCGCATCCCAATTGGCAGCAAAGCGGCTACTTTGGGGCTGCGGCTTAGGCGTGGCGCCCACAGAGGAGCCAGCGCTCATTCAAGAGGCCCGTGAGCGGAGGTGGCTTTGGTTTTTGCCGGCCCATGGCCGGAACCACGTAAAATTCTCGGTGGCTCCCAGCCATCCGGTTCCTTAGCCTCTTGGCTTTTTAGTGTTTAGGGGTAACCCACTAAAAGTTAAACGTTTAGCGGGGGATCTGAGGGCAGCCCAGAATTGTAGATGTTGCAGTGATCAGGAACATCCCTGTGATGTCCTGTGTGTTAGGGTTGTGCTTTGTATCTTCCAAACGGGCCTTTGAAGCTAGCCCAAAGTTGGGACAACCGTTTTGATTGCTTCCCCTATGTTGACACATACCTCTGGCGCTGTGTGAAGAGCATCGCGAGGTAGATCGCGAGCCGCATCTGAGCGAAGGGGCCACCAGTGCCAGGGTTGCTGAGTTCAAATACCTTCACTAGTTGGGTTTTTGCCTGAAATTCACACCCCTGATTCCAGATTGCTTTCCAAGGCGGTCACCTTCCCCTGGTTGCTGTTTGGGACAACTGGGACCTGTGCATCTCTGATCCATTGGACCAACCCAGTTCTTATTTGGACACCTTCCCAGTTGGATGTGTAGATTTTGGCAGGTTGCCAAGCCGAAGCCCCTTGTGCCTTGAGGACAAACCCATTTGAGCGTCGGTCCTGCACTTCACTTGGGGACCACAAGCTGAGCCTTGGTCCAAGCGAGCGGAGTTTTTTGGGATTCAGGTGGGCCAAGAGGCGGCTTCCGTGTTTTTCAGCCAACGGGGTTGCCACCTGGCGGTCACGAGCCGCCGCGTCCTGACGAAAGGAGCCGCGTGCGCACCCGGCCGCGCCAGGCAGCGAGCCTCGCGGCGCAGTCTTTGCTCAGCGACTTGGCGAAGGCTTAGCCCCGAAGACTCACTTCCTGAGTTCATGAACTTTAAACTTTTTGGGTTTGGACCATTTTAGTGGCAAATAGAAAGTTTGATTTTTTTGGGCCATCCACTCAGCCAGTGAGGGTATGGGTCAAAATTCAGTCACCAGGATATGGACCGCAGGTTTTAGTCCATGTTTCCATTTACCAGGGTTCGATTTTGGGTACCTATTTTTGACCCACAGCCATTTCAAAAGGGGATGAGTTGGGTTCTTGCTTGAGTTGGATCACACTCCCTTTGGGCTAGAAAAGCCAAACCTGGCATGGACGAACTAGACACTTGTGGCTGGCCTTCAGGGCTCATCAGGTGAGCCTTCTATTTATCCGAGACCTCGGGCAGTTCCTTTCTCCGGTTTGTGGGGGGCTCCCTGCTGAAATCATTTTAGTCAAGGGCAACGATGCAAGATCATTTGTCTGGGGTGCCCCTAGAATTGCTGGGGTGTCCTTTTGTTTCCCTTCAAGACCATCCCAAAAGGGTAACATCAACTGGGGGCTCCCGACTTGGGTTCTCAATGCTTGCTTTTGACGGCGCTGGGGTGGGCCTTCTCCCTACGACTCGTGATTCTTCGTTGGATCAGTGCCCCTCAAAATGGACGTCCTTTCAATCCAATGGCCACAGAAACACCCGCGGGCCATGTGGCGCAAGGCACTTGGAGGTTTTTCGCTTTGGCAGCCAGTACATATAAACCCATCTTGGAGCTTGGGTCTCGGAGATAGATTCACTAGGGCTCGAGGTTACGCCATGTTCTGCGATACCATTGGAATCCGGTTCAAAGTGATACTGTTGTCGTAGAGCTTGACCATCTTGGTATTGCTGAAAGGGTGGTTTTTGTATAGACACGTCTTAGGTTCTATCCTTTTCAGAGATCCGCCAAACCACCCAATCCATTTTTGCACGGCCAAATCTGGCCCGTGCCGGGTGGTTCTGCAGGAAGCAACGGGACGCTGGGGAAAGCCGTGAGTCTGTTGGCAAGAACGAGGGACCTCAGGCAAAGGAACTTGGTTTGCGACGGAAGCCCCATGATGAAGGTGCTGAACTCACAGGGAGCTGCTTCCTTTCCCAGAATTGGCTCCCCTTGGATTTTTTGCATTTTGGGGTCCCCTCTGTTGTCCACCAACCAGGCCAAACACTATAGGATTTTTGCTGGGGTCCTAGTTCCAGCCAAGTTTCCTGGCTGGTTGCCCAAGGTTGAAGCTGATACCAGGGACTTGAGCTGCAGGTTTGGGAGTCCACAGCCTGAAGTGCTGTATGGGCGGGGTTTGGGGGCGTACCCCCAAAAGATGCGCCGAGCTCCTGGATTTCCTGGTGCGTGCAAGGCAAATCATTTTATCCCAGCTCTGTTCGCTGCGCTAAAGATCAAATCCCCCCAAGAAGGAAACACCCAACCACGCAGGCTCCAATGGCAGAGCACAATTGGGGGACTCACAGAAAACGACACCCTTGCACCATACCCCCGAAAGCCAAACGAAGACCTGGATTCGACAGCGGCCTCACTCAAATCGGAATGAATCAGTTTGGCTGCGGCTCATGTTTTTGCGGTTGCCTTTCGTTTGAGGCCGGTGATTCTAAGGGGGGGTAGCATGACTTGACTTCTGGCAGTTTGTCGACTCATTTGTCGAGGTAAGCCCCTGGAGAACCTCCAGAGGGGAGTTCTCACCGGCCCATGTGGGCGGCTTGAATCAAGGTGGATTTGGGCGCCAATTCCTCGATTCGAAATCCGGAGACTCCCTAAATGTACGTTTTCCTTCTGAATTTCCCTTTGATCCACCGCAAAAACAGCACCGAGCCAACGAAGACACACCTGCCCTGGTTCTGACCCGACACAGTTGCTGAGGCTCCCTTGGAGCAGAGCGCGCCTGACCAAGTTGCTTTGGGAGAGCCGTTGCACGAGACGCATTGATTTCCCCGAGAGGAGCCTTTGTTTCCCATCGAGGAGGCCTTCAACCACAAAACGTGTGGCCTTGTTCCCAGAGGTCTCAGCCAAGAACCAAGCTCTTTGTCCGAAATTCAGCAAGATCAGGCTAGTTGCAGATCCAACGACCAAACAAATCATTGGGCTTTGACTGTGTGGCTTGAGGGATGCTTATGGCCGGGAGTGCGACTGACCGGGTCCAAACCTGGCAGCGAGCTCTCGTCGAACGCATTCGAATGAACGTGGGGGGTTGCTTCTGGAGCCGCGCTTGGCGCCAGTTTCTGATTCCAAGCGAATCTGCTGGCGAGTGTTGGGCTTCTGGTTGTGCTGTATCCCAGGCCCGTCCTTGAACTGCATGGGAGCAAATGCCGGGCGCTGGAAGTGTAGGTTTCCTCTTGCACAAAGGTGGCAAAAGCACCACTTGGTTGATTCCCAAACCGCGGAAGAACACTGGCGGTGACCGGTGTCCCTTGGTTTCCTTGAGGCATTGGGTCCTTTTTGCCCGCTGATCGAAATTTTCGGAGCAACCCCGAGTTTGGTTTGCTCCCTCCGCCATGCGTGTGGAAAATGTTTTTTTTTTTTAGCAATTTGTGTAACACCTGCGTTTTTCTTTGCAAAGTGGCTACTTGCTCTCATGGGATTCCTGAAAAGACTCGAATCCCTGGAAAGAATGGAAATGGAAGGTACCCCTAGAACTTTGGGTTCTCACATGATGGGTCAAAAGTAGACCGCCAAGATATGGACCGCAGGTGTTCGTCCTTTCCATTTGCCAGGGCTTGCGCCATTTTGGGTACCTACTGTGGATGGACGAAATCCTGCACCACCTAAAAAGGCCTGGAATGATGATCCACCGGTAATTACCAACAAACGCTATGGTTTCAACCATAGTTTCAAAGTGGTGCGAAATGGATTTCGCAACCATCCACAGTATGCCCTAGGAGCCCAAAGACCCTATATATGAAGGTCTTGGCCGAAAGACCTGCGCCGGAGCCCTTTAAGACAAAGACCTTGAAATTTGGGGTCTCGGGCCCGACAGATTGTCGAATGTTTGCTTTTTCTGAAAGACCTTGTTTTTTGAGGTCTTTGGAAGTCCGCCTTGTTTTTGAGCAACCACTGGTAAAATAAGGATGCTGCGCTAGCAGTAGAACAGTAAATCGCATACAAAACTTTTGAACCATGGAACCATGGCCGAGCCAGAATGCACGGGCCAGCAAACACACACCTACACGCGCAAACATATACAAACGCCCATGTAAATGAATCTCAGGAACATTGCGAGAAGGATTGATAGAAAGAGCTCCTGAAGTCAATGCTTGTCAAAGCCATAGTCAGTTTGTTTGGACAACTTGCCTTCCAGATTACACTGCTTTCCAGCTCGAGGTTCGCAGCCTGCTAGACCGGACTTGCTTTACATCGCAGAAGGGTCACGGGCATCCGTCAATGTGCATGAAACGCGTCCTTCCTATCAGTCCTATCACTCGGACAAGGTCAGTAGAAACCTGTATTCTGTCTCAGTTGACCAAAGGGATTCAATGTCGCAAGCCAGGAGGTGCCTAACCATTTTAGCCCGCGGGCGCAAAGGCTTGCTGGCAGCAGCTGTTCAGACCAATCTCAGCAAACTGAATCGTAGAAGCCAGGTGTGACGCACATGTGAATCTGAACATTTTGCAATGTTGGCTGACCGGAGGCCTTACATGATCAGTGGTGTATTGGCAGCTGCCCCAAACAAACTCCTTGCAAACAATGGTAAAAGCAATCCTAGTGTGTTGCTACCGCATTGTCGTTTTGGTCGCTGGGACTACAGCATTTTGAAGTTACACGAGCTGTTTGCCCGACTGGGTCAAGTCGACGAGCTTAGAAGAGTTCTGAATCTTAGCTGGGAGATTCTTGATTCTTGCCAAAGGCCTTGGATTGTTTGTGCCGAATAACGGCTGGCGCTCAAACGCAAAGTCTGCAGCATGCGGGTGGCTTCTATTTGCGCAGCTGCAAACACTTGCAGTTGGACGCTAGACGTTAAAGGCGTTATATTGACTTAAGCATTCCCCCATCAAAACTTAAGTTGCAGGACGAACCCAACTTGTCGTTTTGTTACCCTGCGTAAAGTGGAACAAACCCCGCGCAAATATTTAAGTGTCCATGATAAAACTGCTGGAATGCCTCTCGTCACATTTAGGTTCCCATTGGTGTCCGCCAATCTGCTAAGCCGTTCATAGATCAATCACGCGCGTCTCCCCACATTCTATTCCTTGGCCTGCAGCAGACACATGCTGCAAAGTCAATTGCCGTTGAACATAAGTTGTTCATGAATACTTTCCGTTTAGCAAAGAATGCCCTCGCATGTCATTGTCCTACATGGAAAGCGGACGCGCCCGGCTTCAATTTGGTTAAGTAGCTCCCGATGCGTAGATCTGCAGAATCTCCGACTTAGTTTTTGTTCACAAAACAATTGAACTGACACATACTTGCGCAGACATTACACCGCAAATGACTCAGCCATATTGTGGGCACGCGTTCGGGAGTGGTAGGGCCAACATGCAGTCAGAGCGTAACTTCAGAACCTTTTTTGCTGGCCCGGTTTTGCGCATCCGCTTATCCATTAGCAGAAGAAACCAGCATCCTAGTTGAGAACCTCTGCTCAACCGAAGCCATGAGCAGTGTTTGCTCGCACGATTAAACACACACATGGAATCTAAGCCTATGCCCCATCGGAAAGCCTACATCCATGAAGTTTGGACAGCGCCTTTTGGTAGGGAGCGTTTGTGTAGCGCCAGTTGTTGACAAAATGTGTTTTGACACCGGCGTTGTCGTGCCTCAAACAATTGATGCAGTGTGAGACGTGTTCATGGGGCCCTCGTCGTGCTTGCGGTGTGCTTCTGCACCATTTGTGAGCTAAAGTTGCTGGCTGAACTCAGAGGTGTCCTTGTCGAAACAAAACATGTGAGAAACTTTTCATGCGAAACCTAGGTCCAGCTCCTGCTTGGCAGGGTGTCCCTTCTTGCCAAAAGCCAATCTGACGAAAGCGCGAAGCAACTATCGAAATATTTTGAACCCAGCCTTTCCGCATGGAAACTTGCTGCAAATCTTGAGTGACAAGGCTTGCTCATCGTCATGCGTCGCAATGACCCAGCCAGCCCTGCGTCGTGAAGCAAACCCAAGATTGGATGTTGCGACTGGCTGCCATTGGAAGGTCCAGCACAAAGACTTGGGCAGAAGGAATGCTGATGGCTTTGTAAAGGTTGCAAACTAGGCTGTAGACCGGGCCACGCTAGTTTTACTTTTTGGGTACCGCGTCCGTCAGTTCAGCTATGCATTGCGAAACCTTCTGGTCATTTATTGCCGATTTTTTACCCACGCGCGCATCACATTGCGTTGTGTGGGAAATCTTGGCGTGATTTCGCGTGATTTCGCGTGATGTTGCGTGAAAAATGGGACGAAGGACCTGTATATACAGGCCTCGCGTGATTTCGCGTGAAAACACGTGATTTTGCGTGATTCTGCATGACGCAATAGAAAAACAAAGTGGCTTGCCTTTTGTGGTGGAGGCTGAGCGTGGCAGTCGGACTTTTTCCTACTATCTATCTTTGTTCTGAGCTGTGCGCCATCGCACGCACATGATTATAGAGCCGTCGAGGGATAATGGGTGGCAACGACTTGGGATGCGGGCAACGCGGGCATGGCTTTTTTTGTGAAATAAACACCCCCTTGCAAAGTTCTGGGGCTGGTAAGGTGCACCAACGACAAAAAATGCACATAACATGGCCCAGTCCAGAGCCTAGTTTGCAACCTTCGACAAGCAGCCATTAGCATTCCTCCTCCGTAGTGGCGTACGGGCAGAGACTTGAGTACTGGACCGTGAGCAAGGTCATTGCAAGATTTGTAGCAAGTTTCCGGCGAAAAGGCTAGTTTCAAAATATCCCAGCAGTTGCTTCGCGCTTGCGTCAGATTGGCTTTTGGCAAAAAAGGGTACTCTGCCAAGTAGGAGCTGGACAAGCCACGAGATATTGCCGGTCCAGGTTTCGCATGAGAAGTGTCTTGTTTTGCTTCAAGAAGGAAGCCTGTCGGGTCAGCAGGAAATTGTCGCCGCGCAGAAATGACGAGGGCGCCATGAACATGTCTCACGCTGCATGAATTTTGGGGGCACTAACAGCACAGCGCCGCTCACCCTATTACACTGCTAAATGCCAATGCTAGATCACATTGCTGAACAGCAGTCATGAATAGACAATGCCGAGGTGCTGCTGGGCGATATCGAAGCCCATCAATGGACATAGCTTATCCGATCAAAGCGAAAAAATAAAACAATGCGCAACACTCATACTTCTTCTCATTTAGGGGCGGATGGGCCTACATTCCACAAATACGTATACTCACATATCTGATTGCTGCGCAGAACTTGTGAGGCTTCTTCAAGATTTGGTCATATTTGGTCTAAGTCTACAGGAGTTTCAACAATTTTGATATTGAATCCGTATATCAAACATTCTTCCAGCTGGTTTCCCCAAATTTCGCACAAGCCAAGCATCTAGCAATATGCCCGCTTTACTGACCCAGAGCATCCCGGAGCTGCTCAGAAGTGGAATGTCCAAGCTGGGCTTTATCCAAGTTTTATGTGTGCTTCAATACTACTGGGATGTCTGGCAACCCGCCAATAATTACTTGGTGTTGTAGAGAAATAACGAGGTTGCAGCGTGAACCTTTATCGACAAAAAACCCAAACAATCGTAAATTCGAGGCCACTATCTGATTAGAGACTGTTAGTATCACGTCAGCTACGCGCATACCAGAAGCAAATGCTCGTAGCCTAACAGAGGCTTTGCACTTCGCCATCGTTTTGAATTAATTGTTAGCTGGGGAACGCACCTAGGCACTAGCCAAAATACGGGTTGTCATCGAACATGTGTTGATCAGGGTCGCTACACACTTGCCGCTTTTGGTTCCGCATCAAAACAGCATACGCGCACGTTTCAGCCGTCTTCGTTTTAGCTAGTGTTTGTTTTACTAGGACACCCAAGTAGGCTCTTCCTGAAAGTAAGCACATATAGAACCAAGTCGCGCAACTTTCCTACCTCGGGGCTGCAGAAGAATGCAACAAACCGACGGGAGCGCGATTCCTCCATAATTAAATCGCGTGTCCCCACGAACGCTGTGAGCATCTGCCATCCTAGACCTTAACCCCAAGAGCAACTATTTGACTATGCTTTTACGACAAGTACATCAGACAGTTAGTTATGTCAAGTTGTTTGGAGCTTGCTCTAGTGAACGCGTTCGGCAGCTCAGTGGTCCGCAACTCATCAAGCAACTTCTGAGGTTGGGTCCTCACTCACACGTGCGTTTGCGGTTGAGCCCCGGGCAACCGATTGGGCTTTAGTTGGGGTTTTGGTGTGGTGGGTTCTGCTTGATGCAATGGACGCGATATGTCAACCTATCTCGCGATGGCCTGGCTGCAGTTGTAGTTGCACGAGCTATGTTAGTGCATTTTGTGCTACTACATAAATAGGGGAGCTTCGCAACGTTTGAACTGCATGAAAAAGCTCGGAAATAGTCTTAATGTGTGAAGACATATCAGCGCACGTTTTTGCTTGCAACCATTTTTTGGGGTCCTAGATGTGAGCAATGAACCATGTCTTGATTCAATACGTATATCTAGCTTCCCTTGCAAGGGCGAAAATGTAAAATGGTCCCCATCGTTGAGAGCTTGGCGCCCCAGGTAATCGACAATAGGCTCAAAAACTGGGATTTAGCCATGAAGTGCATGTGACGAATGACCCTACGGAGCCAAATCAGCTGCTTGCATGCGACTTGGAGTGCCTCAAGCAGCGACATCTTGATGACTTTGTAACTTGGCCACAACATGTTCTAAACAAAGACCTCATATTTGACACATAAAATGAAAGACCTTGAAATTTGAGGTCTTTCACAAAACCTCAAATATGAAGGTTTCGGGCCCCTAGGGATGAATATTGGGATAAACCACTTGAGCCACTTGCTCAAAACTCAGGTAGATGAAGGGATCTTTGGACTTTAGCAGCTTTTTGGTTGATCCACCGGTAATTACCACAGTATGTTTGACCGGAAGAGTGCTTTTCACCTCCGCCGCCAGCGCCAAGCGCCAGGCTGGGCGTGGCCATGCCGGATCCGCCGCCGCCCGCCCAGCCGCCGCTGCCTCGGGAGCAGCCGCCCCCGGAGCCGCCAGCGGAGCAGCCGCGGAAGTGGTGCCGACCTGCTTTCTGCGATCCAATAGACTCCCTTTCTCACCTGTTGGTTTCCAGTTTGTGTTCGCACCTGCCTTCTTTAGGACCAAATGTTGAAAAATCGTGTATACAGTATCTAGGTCCCCCAGTAGTGCCCATCTCTCACCCCCTTTTTTGGTTGGGTTTGGGTTCTGCTACTAAAATAGACTACGGGAAAAAAAGGGTACCCTTATTCGAACCTCTCCACTGGAGGACCTAGCACTTTGTCGGGGGGTAGGCCAGTGTCATTGGCCCAGTTGCCAGTGGGTTACCAACAGGGCAGGAATGAATGAAGTTTGCTTGGGTTGAATTGTGGTGGTTCCTTTCCCATATAGGGATCCTTGTTTTCAGAAAGGCAGCAAGCAAATGGGCAGCGACTGCATTGCTCTCCTGTTCAAGCCTCTAAATTAGACCCCCAACGTGTTTGGAGCCGCGTATCTTCTTTAGGTGTTCTCTCCAAGGCGGCCTTCTGAAGGGGGTGGAACCCCCAAAAGACACACCTACAATGCCTCGGCTCCCGTTGTGGTTGTTGCCAGCCTGACGCAGAATGCCTTCTGAAAAACCAATGTGAGACCTCGCACTTGCTTGCGCCAGCGCAACTTCGCGCGCTGGCTTGCCAGGCGGAAGACTCGCTGGGATGACGGTGGCTTGGCCTTTTGTCCGGGGCAGGACAGTACTCGATGTCAAAGTCGATCGAGAATCAAGGGGCTGATTACTAAGGGTGTCGCAACTCAGGGAACCTTTCGGGGGAGCCCCCGAATAAGCCGGGGTTCAGGATCGACAAGAGACATCTCCCTGCCAAGGGAACCTGCGAAAGAACGTTGGCAGCGAGTTCCAGGAACACCTGGACGGTCAACTCGCCAAAGCTAACCATTTTGGCGGTTCGTTATCCTATTTGTGGGACCGTCGACCAACAAGAACGCTGCATTCAGCAGTTGGTGTCTTATTGATATTGTGGAAAATGCACCAAGGATGGTGGATTTGCAAAAAAGTAAGCTCAGGTGATATCCCCAACAGCATGCGGTGCTGTTTTTAGTGCCCGCACCACCCCGCAGCCCTCGCAGAACCTCGTGGAGCGCTCGTGGAACCCTGGTAGAACCCTGGTGGAACCCTGGTGGACCCTCGTGGAACCTTACCTCAGGGCCGCCCCGGACCACCCCGCAGCCTATCTGGGCTGAGTTGGGGGAAAAACGATGCCCCCTGAATGAAGCTAGAACATTGGGAAATGATAGGGTGAAATAACGTGGGCTAAAGAACTACTAGCATTCCCTGTCATCACCAAACGTTATTTTGTACCCCACCCATTGTATTTATTTAACCCCTTTGCCCCTGGATCGTCCTCTGGTGTAAAATCCAGGGGCCACTGAAGTTGGTGCAACCAGTACCACCAGAGACTGAGCCGCAGGCCGCTCCTTGCGACCTCACCTCACCTCGCCGAGGCGAAGCCGCCGTGGATGCCGCCATCGCAGCTGCTGCAGCCGCAGCGTTGGGGCGCCCCAGGACGTTGGGGCGCTGGGTGCAGAGAGCTTTGAGCAGAAGGGCCCCTGGTGATTTTCTAGGGGTACCTTCCAGTTTTCTGAACCCAGGGATCCGAATCTTTCTGGAAAACCTCCGGAAAGCTACTGAAAACGGATCCGGTGTTTGGAAAGAGCGATGGTTGAAAGTTGAAAAGAACGGGGAATCAACCCCTAGAAGAATTCTTTCACCGGAGCCACTTGCTCAAAACCCGGGTAGATGAAGGTTAGTAAGGGCCAATCCCAGTCATAAATAAGATTGACTGTGGCTCACTTGTCTTTCCTTGAAATAAATGACACAATAGCAAGATTTACTTGCCAACGTAAAGCAAGTATACAGTTTGAAACAGATCCAACAGTGGCTCCCTCAACAAAAACATGGAAGCTCTTGGCCAGACAGATGTGTTTTTTCTTTTTTGCGGAGTAACCAGACTAAAAAGGGGCACCAAGCCCCTTCGCAGGCGGCTCTTTGATTTGTTGAGGAGTGCCATAGACCAACTTGACCCATCGGTTTGTTGCGTGTTCAGCTGCTTGCTTTGACCAAAGGAGCTATGAACCGGACGATTTTTGTTTGGGGGACGTTTCTTTTTTGTTAGTGAGGGCTTTTGGATCTTTGACTCAAGGTAATGCAACCCCGTTAAATACAACCCTGTTAAATAGACTTAATACAACCCTGCTAAATACAACCCAGCCTTAGATACAACCCACCCTGACCAGTGAATCCTGAAAGTGAACAGAAAGGTCGAAGCTTCACCCCCCACCTCTCGGCTCTCCGGCCGTCAGGCAGATGCAGCTGGTCCCGCAAGGCCGCCAAAAGGGGCGTGTTTGGTTGCTGGTTTTATGGATTGCCAGGCTAACTCAGCCTTTTGCGCTTCCCTCTTGGGGGTGTCCTTCCTTTTGCCTTGCAACCAGGTGGACTTTTTGCCGGTCAGATCCGTCTGGCCCCGTCTCGAGCTTGCCACATAACCTACGACTTGGTCCCACTTCGAGAGGAAGTTGATCTTCCAAGTCTGCCTCCCACCATGGAAGCGGAGAGGAGGTGGCCCAGCAAAGGAGGTCGCCCATTCCCATGATCAAAAGGAGACTAGGTCTTGCAGCCAGGTGCCCTTTCTCCTTCTTTTTTGGTTGGGAGGTTTCCCCTATACTGAAATAGACAAAAAAGAACAAAGTTGGTACCCTTATTCTAACCGCTCTACTGGACCTAGGAGACCATGGCATTTTTCATTGACGCCTGGTTTTTTAGAGGAAGTTGATGCAGCTCTCACACTTGTACCGAACGGGGGACAAATTCCTTGTTTGCTCCCAAGGCTGCGGCAAGCAAGATTCGGCAAGCACCCTACGTTCCGCCCAGTTTGCTTATCTTCTCCAAGTGAACATACGTCCGGAGGCAGGGTAATTACTTGGCAAGTAGGTATTAAAGCGGTCCGTAAACCCGGTCATATCCCACTTGCACCCATCAAAAGTCCTCTAAGTGGAGTATGAGAGGGAGTCGCTAGTTGAAGTTGTCTATCCACACTTTCCAGACGTTTGTTTTTCTGTGTTGACCCCGGATTCATATGAATCCCAAAACCACAAACACCCGATATGTTCATAAACATGGGTTTATGAATCTGGGGTCCACAGTATGTACTTTGCACGCATCGCCCTCTTTTCTCTGCGCCGCCATCCACGTGGCTGGGCGGTGCCGAACTCCACAGATCCGATCGACAACGCTCACCTACCTCCCAAGGTGTGCATAAAGGTAATTAGTAGTTGCATTTTTTCCCCAGTTAGATTTGCTGGCGTGCAATCATCCGCCTGCTTTTTGCTATCTGAGGTCTATGCTGGTGTAGTGTTTTTTTTAGTTTAAAAGAAAGGAAAAGCAAGGAGAACCAGGGTCCCTTAAATAGGACACCCATATTCGCGCGACGTTTCCTCTGTAACTTGCGACCGATGTCAAGACGCGCTCTTCGTGGGCGTGCCGAACTCGCGCGCAGGATCGTCGTCCGTCTTGGCCAGACAAACCGCGCGCTCCCCGACCAAGCCCCTTGAAAGGGAAGCCTTGCCCGAAGAAAAGGTGCTCTGAGCGGAAAGGGAAGCCCAAAGGGGAGCTGCTTTGAGCTTGGACTTCACGCTTGGTGGTGGTTTTGAGCTTGAACACCGTGTTTTTCTTGGTTTTTGGGTCCGCCCGCTTTGAAAGCGCCAGGTTCCATACCTGTGGCGCCAAGCAGGGGAGCCCAGGATTAAAGAGGATTGGTCGCCTGGACAAGGGGAGGGTTTACCAAGAGGGCTTCCGCAGAAAAACCAAGACACCCCCCCAAAAAAATATTGGGGTTATTGTTTTGTGTGTTTCTAGAGTTTATCAAAGTCAGCAACTGGGGCTGTGTCCTTTAACCCATCACTTTAGGGGTGACTTGGAGAATGGTAATGAGCCCAGATTTCCCATGCCCGCTTGAAAAGACCTGAAGGTTTCGTTTGGGGGCTCAGGATTTGCACTCCTTGATCCTCGATGAGGAGTGAATGTGGCCACCAGGTTTTCAGTAAAGCCTGCTGGGTGTGTGTGTTTTTTCCCCCCTGTAACTTGGATTCCCACTTGAGTGGCGCGCCTGCAAAAGTCAAGCAACGAAGAGAAGCGGCTGCCACTGGCTGTAGGTCCGCGAATTCAAGCAGCTTTTTGCCACTTGCGTGCTCGGTTTGAGCGGTACGGGTAAGCAAGCCGAAAGCAGGCCAGTTCAGAGTTTCCCTGGCTTGTGCATGGATTCAGGGTTCCGAACCTTTCCTGGAGGACAACATGAGGACAGTTGGCAGGAGCCACTTTTTCTTGAAGCTTGCATGGGGCCCAACCAAGAAGGCGGCACAAAGGTTTCTTGTCAAGTGAGATTCCCGGTCGGTACACCTATCGATCGGGGGATATCGGGTCGAATGGGAGCGCTGGATTCGGGAGAATGATGTACACCGGCTTTCCAACCAGAAAGGCCCTCTGAGAGGTTGTGGCATGGGCCAATGGGATACTGAAAAAAGCCCTGGAGCAACAGGTTTTCCTTTGTGACTTTTTGATATAAACCCCCAAAAGGCTAGAGCAATACAATCACACGCAAATACGCCATGTTCAACACTGCATCAGCTGCAACAACTGACGCAAAGCAAGAGACCGGAACGAATATGTCGAACCCTAAATATTGCCACTTTGGGTTCCCCGGATGGGGGAGCCTCAGTATGTTCCGCGACCGCTAGTAAGTGGTTGTGCCACTCCGGGCTGCGAAGCGGGTTGCGACCTTTTGTTTTGACCCGCCTCTAACTTGGCCGACATCAAAGTGACGACCAACTCGCATCGGGGCCATGTTCACAAAATATTCTAAGTCAACTCTAAGTCGAAAGTTGTTCACAACTCTAAAGGATTTGGCCGATTTTTTCCAGAACTCTAAAGGATTTGGCAATTTTTCAGAACTCTACAGGATTTTGCCATTTCTCACAAAGGATTTGGCCCACTTCCCACAACAAAGTCGCCCAAAGCCGCGGAGCGAGCCGAGGCCGGGAGCCCATGTTCCTGGGGGCGCCCCCTGCCGCGCCCACCAGCAACCCCAACTTCGGCGTGAACGCCTCCAGCGCGGAGCCCAGGTGAGCTTGCTCAAAGCCGATTCGGGCAAAAGAAGGTAAGTAAGGGGCAATCCCAGCCATAAATTCCCTACATGGTTCTGGGTTGATCCTTTTTGTACCGGGTTTTGATTATGACTCAGGTGGTGCAAAGCCAAGGGACCACCACCCTTTGCCTACTATTTTTGGTAGCTGGGATCCACCGGGATCCACTGGGCCACTGGGGTTTTAAACGGTAAGAGTTCCTTTCTCAGCGCCCACATGGGAGTTTCTGTCCGCGCAAATGGCTTGTCACCTCTCAAGTCAATGAGCCACAAGCCTGGAGACTTTTTCGGCCAACCCACTCAGGAACTGAGAGGTTGTTGGGAAGCTGATATATATATATATATAACTGTTTCCGTGCTTCGCGGGATGACACGAGCTCCGCAAGTATGTGAGATTTGGAAGGTATCCGTTTTCTGTTGTTGGCTCAAAGCAAATAGAAACAACAACAGCTCATTTGGGGCTCACCAGCTTCAAATCGGATGTAGCATGAAGACAGCAGCCCCTTTCCAAAAGGGAAGGCGAAGGGATTTTCTTCTCGCACCAGTCCCTGCTTTTGTTGAGCAATACTGGTTCAATTCAACCATGTTTAGGCAAGGCGCTTGCACTTCTGAGAAGGTTTTGTTTCTGATTTCAACCCTTTTCTTGCCTTACGACTTGTGTGCATTTGCCGCTGGATTGAGTACCCTTCCGGACACCATGGAACAATATCGGAGGTACCTGGATGACCATTCTCCTGGCACAGGGTCAATATTTACCGTTATGGACCGTGCTTCAAGGGATGGACATGGGGCACGCTCGCCCAGCTGCAATCAGAAAATGGTGGGCTAGTTTACCAACTTCCCATGCGGGGCTCGTCTTTAAGTGGGAGAGCCGGCCCCCCTCAAACCAGCCGGGAAAGGGTATTTGGCTCAGGTTGATTTGACCAATGAGCCACAAGATGTTTCCTTTGCTAAACACGGCGCATCGGAGATTGACCATGGCTCCTGCAGTTGGCTGAAAGTACATGACATGGCACATTTCCCTGTGCTCTCTTGAGTCATCTCCTTTCTTTGGTGCATTTTGCTTGGATGTTAGGACTTTAACTTTTTGCCAACTCGTGGGTTTTCCGAATTCAGTTAGTCACTTTTAGCAGGGGAGCAGATTTCGCAACCGAGCTTTACTTACCCACTGAACCGGAATTTGACCACGTACTTTGACCCTGGTCGCTTTTTCGCATCCGCAGCCTTCGGTCGAGTTGTTCGCGGTGGGCTAGGCACGCAGAAGCCGCGGATTCCGTACATGTGGCCCAAGCACATGGACGACTGGCGATGGAGCAAAGGATTTGAGGCCCGAGTTGGACTTCTTTTTCGTCCAGAAAGAAAGAACACCAGACTCACAAAGTTCCCACAAACTGGTCACGAATCTCCGGGATCTCTTTTGAAATGACTTTGTGTCAATTAAAGGTTCACAACATGGACCATAGTCAAACGTACTGGTTGCAAAAGCGGTAGGTTTCAGCGGTTCAAGCCCGGGTTTGCAAAAGGAGTGTAGTGTCGACCCCGGATTCATCAACGCGGAATACTGTGTGTGTGTGTGTGTGTTGCAGCCTGAAGAGTAATCAACAGGTTGATGAATCCTGGGGTTCAGTTGATTCCCACTTCATGTTCAGAGTCACCCTTTTCGCGACTGGAGAAACAAAAACAATGTGACACGTTTGGGGAATCGTCACCCCCTGTCAATCTGCCAAAGGTGATTAAGTCATTGACAAGGCCTTTGCTCAGTGGTACCCCTTTTGGGGACTTTTGCGCGGCCAACTGCATTGCACCAAAGTGCTGAATGTATTTGTGGTTGTCCAATTCCCAAGGGATAGTGAGAACGAACATGACCGCTGTGGCTTCACGGAACGAACGCCAAAGTATCGAAGCTCTGGCAATTGCAAAGGGGGCTCGACCTTTGGCCTTTTGCAAAGTCTTCCCCTTTCGCAATCAATTTATTATTTTCTGTGTTTGTTTGTTTGTTTGTTTGTTTGTTTGTTTGTTTGCGTGTTTTCGTGTTTGCTTGTTTGCTTCGTTCGTTCGGTTTGTTTGGTTGGTTCTGTTTTGCACGGGGCCTTCCAAGGAGGCAGCTTGCTCACATCGTTCGTAGTCAGATAGGCAGCCTGAGATTTGCCGGAGGGTTTTTGCGCGTATTGCTTTGGAGCTACCTGGTGTTTGGGACAAGTGGGGAACCTCCCGGTTTTGCAAGGGGGAATGGAGAGAGGCAAACCTAGCGCGGAAAAGGACTGGTTGGCCAGTGAAAGCCTGCATATCTCTTGATTTCAGAGGGGGGTTGCCTTTTCAACGCGAGGCTGTCATTCTCAATGCCAGTCGGCAATCATATCATTTTCGACCCGGACTCATTGACCGGGTTTGGCCCAATCTAAAAAGTAACCTCAATATGTCCAATTTGTGGGCTTTCAACATCACCTGTTTTGGCCAAGTTTACAGTGAGTTTCCCTGTGGCATCCTGTGGCACTGGTGCTGCTTGAAGGGGGATCCCTGCCAGCGAGATTAGATCGGAGATTATCAGAGAGTTCGGATGTCAGTGAACATGAGCTCCAAGCAGTGCTATCTAGTTGGGTATTCTCAAAATAGGGACCCCCCCCCCAAAAAAAAAGGAGGAAGAAGTAATCATGGTGGTTGTCCTTTTGGCTTTTTTTAAACGCAACCCCAAACAGGGTGATTTCCCTTCAACACAACACCACACCCACTTGTCGACGCCGCCACGAGGCGACCTATTGCTTCGAGGAGGTGGGCTTGCCACACGCGATGTCTGGGGCTGAAGCAAGAGGGTCTCAAGCTGATGCCCCTCGGCCGGGTGAATTGTTCTTGGTGGCTCCCAGCCATCTTTTTAGCTTCTTAGTGTTTAGTGGGGATTTGCATTTAACTCACTATGCATTTAACCCACAAAAAGTTAAACTTTTAGCGGGGGATCTGAGGACAGCCCAGTGTTGTTTCAAACAAAGCTGGCGAGAGGTTGTCAGCAGGGTTTTTAGGCGCACTTGCCAAATAGGGTAACCAGCGAGGTTGAGACATTGCCTGGCTATTTCCGTTGAAGGATCATAAAGATCAAGCAAACCAAGCGAAAGCATCTCTTCAACCACAATTTCGGACTTACACAATGTCCTTGTGTCTTACTTGCATCCATTGCGATCAACCATGCCAAGGGGATTCAGGCACATCGCCACGGATCTTCAAAGGTGGAGCTATCCCCGGAAAAGCCTAGGGTACGCCTAGGATAAGCCCCCACCAAGGCCTTGTTGAGGTTTCTTGATCTTTCATATCTGCCCCCTTGGAGGTTCATGACATTTGGATTGGCAAACTATTTGGGCATGTGTCAAACAAGGGCGGGACCTCCCATTTTTCCCATTGGATTCCCCCAAAACAACCATTGGAGCAGGTTTTCCTTTGGGGTTCCGTGAAAACAACCCCAAAACCCACACATTTGCGGGGTCCTCCCTTTTGAAGTGGCATTTTACTGTTGGCTTCCGGCCAAAACCCCCAAACCGGGGCTACCCTCCGAACTCCGAGGCTGGAGGTGGCGCGAAGGATCCTGGGCCAGGGCTCCCGCCCGCCCGCCCCGAGTTTGGTTTGCCACCGCTCGGCCGGGGGAATCCGTGAATCCGCCTGTGCGGCAGCCCGTGGGGGAAACTACGCCAAAACGAGGAGTAACCGTACTGTGGATGGTTGCGCGATGTTTTTTTGGTTTCTGGCTTGGTTGAAACCATAAGGCCACCCTTGTTCCAGGGCCCCTGATGTACTTGTCTTGAGGGTACAACCTTTTTGGCTGAAATGGGCGCGGAACCCATTTCGCGCCAAGCAAGAAACCATGGTTGAACCCATGGTTGGTTGGTATTTGCAGCAGAATCGGATCGGAAACCAGGGTTTCTTAGATGGTGCTGTGGATGGTTGCGACACCCATTTCGCACCACCATTCAGAAACCTATGGTTGAATCCATGGTTGGTTGGTATTTACAGGGGGTGACTGGGGGTGACTGGGTTACTGGGCCCTTGTGATTCATACTGTGGATGGCTGCGCGAAACCCATTTCGCACCACCAAATGTTGAACCATGGGAATGAAACCATAAGGTTGGTTGGTGTTGACGTTGGGGAATCGGATCAGAAACCAGGCTTTCTGAATGGTGGCGCGAAGTGGATGAGTTGCGACGTCCTGCAGCACTGGTTTCCCAGAGCTTCAGAGTGGTGCAGGATTGCGTGTAATCCGGTGTCCTTTGTAGGTTAGGTTTGTTGAAAGTCGATGGCGCTAGATGGGTTGTATTCCATTTGCCAGGGCCATCAATCTGTCCAAAAGGCCATCTTGTTTTGAGGGTACCCCCTTTGTTGTGGTGTTTAAAGGGAACCAAAAGGAACACCACCATGTTTGGGATGCCCTAAATGTGGATCGGAGTCAGACAACGTACTGTTTTGTACTCCAGATGTGGGCCAAGTTTTCTGATGTTCAAGGGTCCCCCCCCCATCACTGGGAGCGATATGAGCTAAGGGTCAACATTGTGTAAAACTCACATTCCTTCTGCCGATGTGTTCAGGTTTTCAGCCGCCGATTCAAGGTTAGGGGGAACACGAGCTCGCCCATGAAGGAAAATACTTGATCCTTTGTCCAGTCATTTGCAGATTCCTTGATTTTCAGTTGGGGCCAGGTATCGGACGCACGCGATTTGGAAGCCAGAAGGGGTGCAGAATTGTGTCCAATGTCCGGGCAAACTTTGAATATCTCGTTGGGCGCTTTCAGTTTATGACGCGATAGTGTGGATGGACAAAATCCACTCCGCACCAGTTGGGATGAATGAACTTTGATTTGAATACTGGTTGAGAAAACGCCAATCTCAACTGGTGCGTTTTATGGATTTCGTCCATCCACAGTGGTCCCAGGTCCCTCCTTTTGGTCTGGGGCCTTCCAAAGGCTTGCGCCGGAAAGCTTTGTGGCGGTAGGGTCTCATGGCTTGCTCCGGGGGCAACTCTGCAAGTCATTCATCATTGAATACTGCATTAAATATTTCCCCACGGAACCCCAAAGCAATCCATCATTTAACTCCTTTTTTTGCTTGCTTTAGGTATCCCTTTGTTGGGTCCCTTCTTTGAATTGCAAGGGAGTATGGAACCCCGAAATTGCCTCCTTTAAACTGCCTGTGACTGTTCAGTAAGTTGATTCCCTTTTTGGGGAGGATCAAGGAACTGCGGTTTGCAATCGCGGATTTGTCCAGCCATTTAGTCTTTTGCCCTAGGGGTTTCCTGGGGTTTGTTTTCGCCAGTAACAAGTCAACTGTTTGCACCAGGTCTGAGTTTGGCCAAGTTCACAGCTGAGTCAGAGGGCTCCGAAGATGAAAAGGTGCAGTACTTGCGTGGGAACAATCGCTTGTCGCAAAATGGGTTGCAACCCAGAGGAGTGCTGCGTAACCTGGTTTTCCAGGGATACCTCCTTTCTTCAAGGGTTAACATCCTCTCCCGTCGCCTGAGAAAGGCGGGTGTTTTTCCTCGGCCAGGCTTCCCCACGCGGGTGGCGGACGCCAGCGACTGCAACGTGGAAGTCACCGCCTGGGGTGCGCGCGATGCGCTCGCTCGAGAGAGTCGGCCGGGGCATGCCAGCTGTCGGGGCGTGTTTTTGCTTTTTTCCTGCAAAATCGACTTTTTTGTTGGGGGGGGGAAGTTTTTTCTCTTTTTTTTTGGGGGGGAAGGGGTTTCCTGAGAAACTGCCAACAAGCAGGATGCCCCTTTCCCCTGGAAGTTCACTGGAAGTCTGGGCTTGTGGGAGTCCTTATGGCTCTAGGGATTCATTCCAACCATTCTTTTCAACCATCGTTCTTTTCAAAAACCAGCTGTTTCCCCTGGGGTTCTGATGGTTTTCTGGAAAGAAGGATCCCTGGAAAGAATGGGGAAGTGTGCCCTAGAATTGGGCTGCAATACTTTGTGCGCGAAAAGCAAGAGGATGTTGCAGCTGAAGGCACTGGCTGAAGGCACTGGCTGAAGGCACTGGCTGAAGGCACTGGTAGGGGTGAGACGGCAGCTTTGGAGCCTTGACGGGCCTACTCGCACCACAAGGAATGTCCAGAATCGAGTAGCGCCGGGGTCTGCGCCGCGATTTTTTGGGCTTCTCCAGATTGGCCGGACTGGCGGGAGGAGCGGGTCCCACTAAAACACCCATGAGCATCGTTGTGGCGAGGTGAAACTGGATCTTTGGATTTCTTTTTGTTTGCCTGAAACAGGTGGTATGTTCCATTGGACCCACAAAAAGTGAAGAGCCGCGCACGGCACGATCTGCATTTTGGCCCTGACTTTGAGCTGCTTGTACCGATACTGGGCCGCGGCCATCCCCAGACGCTGGGAACCATCATTGCTCCACGTTGCAACGGGACTTGGCTTGTCCTGGAAGTAGCATTGTTCCTCCCAAAGAGACCGATGGCTACTACATGGACGGGCATTTACTACTTCAGTCAGAGCGAAGTTTATGCTTTTTAGGTGTTTCCAAAGACCCGATCCGGTCAAGCGCGGGTGAAATTCACAAGTGCAATCCGTGTGGCAGGCGTGGGACGGCCAATTATCACTACCCTTTTGAAAAAGGCTTCCCGCGTACTAAATTGACCGCTCGAATTTGCGTAGGTCTCACTGCGTAGGATTCTAGGGGGAACGGGATGTAGTCTTTTTGAGCTTAACACAAATCAACCACCAAACAAGCAAATGGGGGTTGCCAAGCCGATTGACCGTTGTTCAACTGTTCTTGAAATGTGACCCCTCCCAAATATGCTTTCTGCCCCCCTTGCCCACATGCTGCATTACTTTGGCCTGTGTCCCCCGACTTCTGAATCATTTGTGATGTAACGGATATGCCAAAAACCGTTTGCTTGTCACTCATTCTGTTCCTTTGTGCCCTCGTCAAAAGGGCTGTCAACTATCAGCAAGGGGTTGCTTCTTTTGTCACACCCCTCAAAGGGGAAGAAAGGCCACCGCCCGAACTTGGAAGCCTTTGATAGTTAAAACCCTCCGTCACTTTGACTCAGACCCCCCAAGGCTCACCCCCTAAACTGGTGGTTTCCTTGCAGTTTCTTCACCCCCCTCCCCAAACCCAAACACAACAAGAAGAAAACAAGAAGAAGAAGAAGAAGCAGAAGAAGAAGCAAACATCCACCAGCTCCTGGTATCTGGTTGCCTTCCTTCATGTGTCCTTTCAGACTCGAAACAAATGCATGCATCTTTCAGCAAGCAAAGGTGCGGAAACACACTCAGTGATCCTGCTTCCCTGTACAGTAGGCAGCCAACAAAGCCACCCTTTTCAAAGCCAAAAGAAGCTGCTGGGGTAGCTGCATAATGGTAAGTGGGTTCTGGGGAAAATACGTGCAAACAACTTCAAGGTGGCGCCTTCCGTTTGGCTGTGTCGAGTGTTGCATTTTGCCAGGTTCCTTGCTGGTCCGGCCAAAGGGCACCGGAGGTGACATCGACTCGCCCTCAGGGAGTGTCTCTTTGGGCGTTCCGCCACATTGGCAAGCTGTTGTTAACCTAGGTTATGCTAAGCTGCCCCCAAGGTGTTCATCCAGTCGTGAACGGGCAAGAACCCAATGGGCGAACCACTCTTGCTAACTTGGCCGAACATCCAAGCTCAAAGCCAGGGATTTTCAGCCCTTGCTCTAATTTGCGGTCTCTTCAACCTCCTGCGTCATGGAAGATGCCCCCGGTGGGACCATCCCCGTCGCAAGCCCTGTGCTAAAGTTATTCGCCAGTTGGTAGGGTGGTTTTCCATTCATAGGGTTTCATCCATTCCAGCTGGTGTCCATCCACAGTAGGAGGGTTTCTATCAGACTGGAGTTGTCCTTGTTCGATGGCTGTAAGCAGGCTTGGGCATCGCAGGACTCCCTTCTGCGTCCGTTCGCCGACCACCACTTTTTGGAATAGGAAAGTATACGGAGAATGCCATGCCTTTTGAAGAGTTGCCCACCTGGACCTGCTGGACCTGCTCAAGTGAGCCTATGGATCCCTTTTTGGCCAAGGTTTGCTTCAGAAGAAGGGTGAATGAGAGAGCCCTGTCTCTCTTCACATCACGCCTTTTTTTTGTGCGTCCAAGGACGGGAAGTTTGGGCGTTTTTCACGGCTTGCGAATGGCTTTCCCTTTTTTGGAACCACGCAAAGCTGGTGTTTGTCTTTCTGAGAAACAACCCCTTCCCCACAACAAACCCAGGAAAAACAAAGTGGGAAAACTGTAATTCTCCGAGTCCTTCTGCGAGACACACGACGCGAAGAAAAGAAGCTAACACAAGCCAGGATGTTTTCTTGCTCGGGAAGCCAGCTTGCTGATGCCTAGCAGGGAATGAGGAAATGGACCGATTTGGGATTCCCTTAAAGGAAACCAAATCGGGGATGGTTGGGGTCATGAGCCATTTCTCATTTGCATCTCTCGCAGCAAGAGCCAAAACCTTAAAGGAAACCAAGTTGGGGATGGCTTTGAGCTCGAAGTCATCCCATTTCCATTCCCTGAGCACGCCCTGAGCATTTGTTCAATTCCCTGACTATCGCAGCAGCAAGCCCATTTTTTCATTCCCATGCCGCAGCCTTTGCTTGGCTGTGGCTCAAAAAAATGTACCAAAATGGCACCTTGGTAAATGGAACCAAAGACTAAAACTTGCGGTTTGCCCTGGCTTTTCAATTTTGAGCCACACCCGCTTCAGCGCGCTTAGGAGAAGGCGAAGAAGATGCTCTTCGAGGTGCTGCACCCTGCGGCGGAGGCGCTGCGATCGGAGGCGTTCATGGTGGAGAAGGACGCGCCGCAAGCCTCGGGGGTGGGGACTGCTTAGGGGTCGGAGCGGTTTTCGGACGGGTCGGAAATCGGGTCGGGAGTCGGGTCTTCTCTCTGAAAGGATCCGATCTTCTCATTGAACTAGTCTTAGTAGTGACCGTTCGGAATTCATTTGGGAGAAATGGACGCGGTGAAATTGTTTAACCCCCCAGCTGCAAGCTGTTTCAAGGGGCTTCTGCATGGTGATCTTCAGGTGCATCCTTTGACAAAAGCGGAGAGGCGAAAACCCTGGGTTTCCAGCTCACCGATCCAGGGAGAAGTCGTAAAGCAGGGTTTGCTTGGGGATTTCTTTCAGGTCTTGGAATTGTTGCTGGAAACTTCCAGATATGGGGGGGCTTCTCAATTTTCAGGAACCCCTAGTGGGTGGTGTCAATCCATGTCCTTTTGGTTTCTGAAAAAAAAGGGCAACATTCAAACAGGGCAGCCCTATTTGAAGAAGTACCCATAGGTTTGCATCAGCCAGCTTAAACCTCGCATGGTTTTCACCAACCAAGGCCGGACAGCAACCCCGACGCTGAGGCGGTGGGCGTGGGGGCTCAGAGGTGAAGAGCACTCGAGCAGCTTGGTTCTGGGGGGTCACTTGAGTATGGGTCAGAATTAAATCACAAGGGCACCGCAGGTTTTGGTCCATGTTTCCACTTACCAGGGTTCGATTTGGGGTACCTATTTTTGACCCACAGCCACTTGGGGGATTCAAGGTGTGTGAAGCATAGGAGTTTGCACCGACTTATGTTCATCGAGTAGCTTGAATTCGGGGCCGGCATGAAAGGGGAACAAAGATTGATTGAGCAACTGTGGCTCAAGGTGTCGCAGGCCAGTCTTTCTGGCGGAACATGCTTAAATACGGCGACCCTGCCGTGGGACGGCCGCGCGGGTGTAGTGGGATCAGTTCGCGTGGGTGTTGACACCCATGTGAACTGGGATGTCTTTTGGCATGATGATACATTCGGGGTTTAGTAAATCTGGGCCAGTATCAAACATGTTATATTCTGGTTAGGCAAAAACTGAGGAAGTGAAGTCGATTCCTCTTGAAGGTTGATTCCCAAAGCCACACTTGGCCCAAGAAGCAAAAGGACAGGCTTGGGCTTGCACCGTTTCGGTGGAGGCATTGGTCCGGTTGTGTACAGAACCAGTTGCCATGGATGTTGTTACAGGCAAACCGGTCGCCATTGCCTGGCTGATTTTGCAAGAGGCGTGGGATCAATTGTGTCTAGCTCTGCCGGTGTCAGGTGCAAATCTGCTGCAGCGAGCATCCCTTTGGGTGACGTTGATGGCAGCTGGACAGTTCGGCAAAGAGGTTTTGGCACCCGTGAGTCTGACGCACAGTGTGAATACTGTCTTTGGTGTTGCTGTACTGGGAGGACTCACAGTCGGCATTTCCACCTTGACATCGCAAGCATTTGGAGCGGGGAGCAACTTCGCAGTGGCCGCGATTCTGCCAAGAGCCTTGCTGGTGGCATTGCTTGGCTCTCTGCCCTTGTCTTGACGCTGGTGTTCATCAAGCAGATCTTGCTTAGCTTCCATATGGAGGAGGCTTTTGCTTCGGTCGCGGGCAATTTTGGTTTATTTGTCCTGTTGGTGGCCCCTTGCACAGGCATCCAGCAATCCATTGGCGCGTGGCTGGTGGCACAAAACAACACCCGGCCCTGGATGTGTGTGACGCTCTCGGTGCTGCCGCTGCATGCCGTCATGACTGTATACTTCAGCTCAACCTCCTGGACCTACGTGGGCACAGGTGTGGCAATCAGCATGAGTACCGCACTTTCGGCCTTGCTTCTCTATTTGTACATCTCCTGCTCATCCACTTGTGTGGGGACGTGGAGCTTTAGTTCTGAAGCCTTCAATGGTTGGGGGTCCTACTTGGAGGTTGCTTTGCCAGGCGCCAAGATGAACATAGACTATTGTGTTTCAGAAGCCTTACTCTTGGCTGCCAGCATGCTAGCCGATCCTGATACCTGTGTGGCAGCCATGTCCGTCTACCAGCTGACACAAACCACCTGCTATACTATTCCATATGGATTCTCACTGGCAATCACCAGTCGATTAGGCCATCAATTGGGTGCTGGCTGCCCTGCAAACGCTGGCATGGTTACGAAAGCAGGCTTTGGACTCACACTTCTATGGCTCGCATTTCCTGCAACCTTATTGCTGGTCTTCACCCGTCAGTGGGGTCTTCTCTCTTCACAAGAAATGATGCGGTGCTCGAACTCCTAGAAACACTGGTTTGGCTCCTGATCCCCTACAGCAGTCTGGATGCAGTCCTAGGCCACTACAATGGGGTCTTGGCATCCTGTGGTCAACAGAAATTCAGTGGACAATGGGCCATTCGAGCCTATTTGGGAGTCAGTTTGCCCTTGGCTGTTCTCCTCGCCTTTGCCTTCGATTGGGGCGTTGTTGGACTCTGTGCCGGACACTCCCTTGGGAAGCTCTGCCACGTGTTGGCTTGCATGTTTACTGTGTGGCGCATCGACTGGGACATGGAGAGCTATCGGGCCATCCAACAGGTATCAGATTCTATGACCTTGCTGGTGTAATACTAGAGAAGTTGAATGGCGAACTCTGATGAATGAGTTTGTCCAAGCTTTGTGTTGCAGTATCGAGTACTAGGCCGGTTCCGGTGCACAAGCAACGCCCACTAGGCCTCGATGTATTTGGCATCACGATATAAACCACAAAAGTGTGGTTTCTGGGGCGCGAAGCGCCTTTTTCCACTCCCACGGATTTTTTTTGGCCCCTCGTGTTCTGAAAGAACCGATGAAAAACCCGAGATCCGTGGTTGAGTGCTTCATGTCGACTTGCGATCGGGGCATCCCGAGTGCTGATTAGCCCAAGCATTCAAATGGAATCGCGACGTGGGGTGCTGACAAAGGGATTGTTTTCTATGAAATGCACCCAGGAATTGTTTGATTCCATGTGTTACAGCTGCATGGTTGTTGTTGGGAAACATTTTACATTTTGCTTATTGTGGTTTAGTGGTTGAAAGCCAAATCCACTTAACTGCTAGAGTTTGTTTGTTTTTTTTCTTCCCAAACCCAACGTCAACCAAGGCTGGTCCTACTGCATTAGCGCTTTTTTCAGCGCTGGGTGCTGGGATATCCTGAAGTACCACATACGGATCTCGCCGGCTTCGCTTCGCTGCAGGCCCTCGCGGTCTAGTGGCCCCGGCCTCGGGTCGATTTGGGCTGGGAATCCATGGTGAGATGGGTAGATGGGTAGATGAGGGTAGATGGGTGGACCTCAATCTTCTGCTTTGTTTGGGAAGATATTTGGGAATGCACTTTGATGAGGGACATTTCTGGTGGACGTGGGGGTTATGTCCACCCACTTTCGAGGGGGTCCTTACTTGGTTGTCGTTGGGAGACATTTTCCCATTTTTGCCTATTGTGGTTTTTCGTGGTTGAAACCCAAGTCCACTGAACTGCTAAAGTTTGTTTGAATTGTTGCTCCCCAAACGTCAACGTCAACCAAGAATGCTGAAGGTTCTAGCAAGGCAAAGTAAGGGAAGCATGGCTGGGACCTGAATATGACCATCACACGAAGCCACGGGTCCCTTGGGCATTCGGACGCCAAAGTCTTTGGGGCTCCCTTCTCACTCGAGCTGTGGGACTTGGGGACGTCGAGGGTGCCCTCTCGTGAGCGAAGATCAGCTCACTCCTTGGGTTCCTGAACCTTTGGGCTCCCAGCCATCCGGTTCCTTGGCTGTTCGCCTTTTAGTCTTTAGTGGTAGTTTCCATTCAACCCACAAAAGTGGAACTTTTAGCCGGGGATCAGGACCATTCTCGTGGAGGCGACCCAAGGGAGGTTCTTTTTGGGCCTGAAACTCCACAGTCTGATCCCAAGAAAGGGGTTCCAGTCCAGTTCTATTTCACCGAGGTCGCTGGAGAACTGGGTTTGCAGTTGGATTTGGGGTTGGGGTGGTTTGAACTTCTTCTTTTTTTCCGAGTTGTTCGGTCGTTTTGTTGGCTTCTTTTTGGGATGTGATTTTGGTTGTGTCATTTGATAAGGGGAGGGGTGGGATCCAAACAAAGCATGTGGTTTTTGGGTTTCACGCTCATCTGCAGGATAACCTATATACTAATAACAGGGTTGACTCTGCTTAGGGCGACTTGTAAGGGGGCTATATACGACCAACCTGCACAGCTGGCCGAAAACCCAAGAAGGTGGCTACGAGGCTACGAGGTTGTGCCTTGTCAACATGTTAGGGTTTGGGCCAACCGCGGTCCAAGCTTTTTTGGTAAGGACTCCTCTGTTCAGGGCCTAAGGACCCTGTTTCTTGTACCATCAGCATCTCCGTCCTGACATTGCCCGAGTTTGTGTGTTTCTTCTACAGGGCTCCTTAAAAGATACATGTTGCAACCATTTGAAACATGTTGCATTTTCCACCAAAAAACTGTTGGAAACCACCATTTACAAGTTGCAATGTTCAGGTGTGTTTCATGCATCCGGATCCCTGTTCTATCTGATTCCATCTATCAGCGCCGCGCCGCCGCGCCGCTGCGGCCTCAGCCGACCCTCTGAAGCGCAGGGCTGAAAGCATCAGCTCGTGGATGCGCCCTGATGGCGGGAGGTGGCGTCAGCTTCGAAGCGAAGCTCCTGCAGTGCTTTGGGGGGGTGCCGGAGGTGAAGCCGGACACGGGGACAAGATGCGCCAGAACAACACGAGCTGGTCTAGGTCCCTCTCAAAAAGAGCCCGCAAATCAACCACAGGTTTAACCCTGAATTCCCACTAAAAACGGTCTTAGACCTCCCCCCAAACACCCAATCGAAGTTTCAACTGAGATTGGGTTCCCCAAACGACCCTCCCCCCCCCGAACTAAAACCAGCAAACCCCCCAGTAGTGCCCTTCTCTCCCCTTTTTTGGGGGAGGGTGCCCCTACTAAAATAGACGAAACAGACAAAAGTTGGTACCCAAAAAATCAAGCCTCTCAAATCTGGAGGACCCTGTGGAGTTCAAGTTCGGGTCAGGAGGTCAAGTCGGAAGAGCGTAGCGACATTGACCACTGTTTCTTGGTTGTTGTTGGGAGACATTTTCCCATTTTTGCCTATTGTGGTTTTTCGTGGTTGAAATCCAAGTCCACTGAACTGCTAAAGTTTGTTTGACTTTTTGCTCCCCAAACCCAACGTCATGGTCTCCGAACCTCTCGGGCTCCCGGCCCGAGCTACCCTATGTGTGTGGAGCAACCGCCTGGGGTTTTCCAGCAGTGCCCTTTTATCCTTTTTTTTGGGGGAAGGGTTCTCCTGCTAAAATTGACTACAGAAAAAAGGGTACCCTTATTCGAACCTCTCTACTGGAGGACTTAGTAGAAGCAACAGCAGGGTTAACACAACTGGAAGTTAAAGATATCCCACGTTTCTTACGAAGTTGGACGAATACCAAAGAAGACAGACCCCACATGTGACATGGTCCAAAAAAACTTCACTTGGGCTCGGGGCTGGTCATCAACCTCTGTACATGGGATTTATGGGGATTTAGACCACCAATGCATGGTTGTCGTTGGGACACATTTTAATTACATTTTTGCTTGTTGTGGTTTAGTGGGAAATCCCCACTTAACTGCTAAAGTTTAATTTGTTGCTCCCCTTCCAACGTCAACCAAGAATGCTGAAGGTTCTAGCAAGGCTTAGTAAGGGAACCATGGCTGGGACCTGAATATGACCATCACCGAAGCCACGGTCCCTTTACACATGAACTGAATTGGGGAAATTCCCTTGGGCTGCCGCTCACTTGTAGGCTGAGGACAAGGACAAGGACGGACGGGAGCCTTTTCTCTCGACGCCTCAAGCTACAATCACGACGTTCTGCATACCACATGTATTGCACCATACATATACGCATATATTTACATACGAATCAACCTCAAAGTCATCAAGGACAACTGTACGTAGTCACGGGTGCCTCATTCATGTACTTTTGTTGGTCTCATTGGTCAACGATAGGGACTAAAACAGACGATGGATTGCCCCCCCCCTTTCCCGCCCAAAGCCTTTCTTGGAGGTGGGCCATGGTTTGTGAATCAGTGTATAGTTGCGTGCTAATTCTGCGGAACATAGTCCATATTGTGGTATTTTCCTAAAGGACAACAACGCCCACAGGGGATATTTTTCTTATTTGTCCAGACCCCGCTATTGAGCACCCACTGAACGGTTTTGGCCAATTGTTTCGTTTCCCTAAGGATTTCTTTTGGTTTCGTAATCCAGGGCCCCTCGCTTTTGGCATGCCTTGCCCTTGGTACTTGGATGTTCGGCCAGGTTAGTAAGTAGTTCGCCACTTGGGGTACAGCCCACTAATGACAGGGGTAGGGGATTTTTTTTGTGGGTTGTACCCCACACCAACTCTTTACTAACTTGGTCGAACAAGTACCTTTGCCTCCATGAGGAGCTTCTGGCGAACCAGAAGAAGCGGCGGATCGGTCTGGGGGCAGCGGAGGCTTGTCAGAATCGGGTGGAGGGGTCCAGGGATTTGTTTTTGAACAATGAACAAAGATTTTAACCACCCCCCCCCCCATGCAAAAACTGCGTTGGGACAGTACTTGGAATTTCGGACATGGGAAAACGCAGTTTTTGAAGGGTGTGGTACAATAGTTGCTTGTTTCAACCTTTGTCACACTCAAGTTTGCCGCCTTCTCTTGGCACAAGGCTGCGTGAGAAATGCATTTGGGGACGGCACTGGAATTCCATGTCGAGTTTCTGCTTTCCTTCGGAGGCTCGGAAAGTCCTGGGGTCGATGGTCTTACCTGGTACCATCCCAATGAACACCCACAAGCCTGGTGGCGTTACATTCAGCCCCTAAGACATGTGCTAAATAGCCCATTTGCAATTTGTGAGGAACCCCAAAAGGGAGGGTTGCCCGAGCGCTTCTCAAAGGATGACTAAAGCCTCCCCCAATCATGATTAAAGGCTTTCCTCAAGATGTGTCCATCGAACATATAAAGCATCCCCCCGACCCGCCAGCTGCACCTGAATCAACCAAAGGGGATGGGACGGGAGGCGATAGGTACCCAAAATGGGTTGCCCGGGTAAATGGAACCAAGAACTGAAACCTGCGGTCTGGTGGTTCAATTTTGACCCCTACCCATTGTCGAGATGCTCCAAATGGGTGTGTCTTAGGGGACCCCAAAATGGATTTCGGTGTTCTCCTTCGGTTTCCTTTTAAACCAACCCCAAAAACCTGGCCCGTTCGAAAAGAAATGACACCACTCGACGGCTCGGTGCCGAAAACCCGAGGAAGGCGAGGGCGAGGTGGACATGTCCCCGCGCAAGCCTCGGAGCCGCTCAAAGTGGGGGGAGTGGGTTTGATGTGAGACAGCCTGTTGCTCAAACTGATTTGGCCAGACAGCGGTCGTTTTTTTTCTTCTTTTTGTTCTTTTACATCCTTGGCAATGGGACCCAGAGAACCCTTGGCAGAGGCATCTTCTTTTGGGCCGCTTTTTGTTTGTTCCCTGCCAATCTTATCATGAGCTCACCCACAAGGTTAACGAGCTCCATGAAGGTTCCTTTTGTGCGGGATCCCCAAATTCCAGCGGGGAACGATTGCAGTTTGCTGTTCGTACACGCCTGTGATAGGCCCGCTTGAAGCCTACAACCGACGCCCCTCCTACATAACTCCCGCTGTGAAGGCCCACCGAGGGGTCTGAAGTGGTCCATTTGGGAAGGATGGGGGACTCTCTAGTTTCCCATGTCCGTTCGCGTATCAGATTGTGACCGTTATCCGAAAAAAAAAAAAAAAAAAGAAAAGAAGAGAAACAACAAAGAAAAAAAAACATAGCTGACAGGATTTTCAGGTGCCTTCTGTTTGACACGTAGTGAGTGCAGTTTGAAGCTTGCCTTAGGCTGGACTCTGTGGTGGTGCCTTTGGCCACCATGGAGGAGTGGCCAGAAGGGGTTTCGCAGACGATGGCCGGATCGACTGGTTGCTCGGGCTCGAGGTTGGATGTTCGCTGCCAGTGGTTGCCCACCCATACTGTGACTTATTGGGTTGGAACCTAAGTGACCCCTATCATAGGGTCAATAGATCCTATCATAAAGTCGTGTGATCCCATAGTAATGTCATCGGACCCATCGGACCCAACGAAACGCCCCATCATAATGACAGGTGATGCCATCACGATGTCATGTGACACCACTGAAAGGCACGCGTGCAAAGCTGAGCTCGCTTCCTGAACAGCAAGTTCAGATCTCGGCCACCGCAATCTGTCAAACGCTGCCCGGGTTTTCCAGGCTCCGGCGATTGGACCTGCCAGCTTGACTCACTGAGCCAATTCTTTGACCTCCGGGTTTCCCCATGGTCCATTTGGCTTGGCGGTTCCCGGCCATGCGGTTCCTTAGGTTTTTTTATTTGTGGGGTTTAGTGGGGTTTCCATTCAACCCACGAAAAGTTGAACTTCTAGCAGGTTCCTTAGGTTTTTTAGGGCTTCTAGTTGGTTTAGTGGGCCTTTTTATTCAACCCACGAAAAGTTGAACTTCTAGCAGGTTCCTTAGGTTTTTAGGCCTTCTAGTTGGTTTAGTGGGCTTTTTATTCAACCCACAAAAGTTGAACTTCTAGCAGGTTCCTTAGGGTTTTAGGGCTTCTAGTTGGTTCAGTGGGCTTTTTATTCAACCCACGAAAAGTTGAACTTCTAGCAGTTTTTTTTTGTTTAAAGGTTTTTAGGGTTTTTAGTTGGTTTAGTGGGCTTTTTATTCAACCCACGAAAAGTTGAACTTCTAGCAGGTTCCTTAGGTGTTTAGGGCTTTTGGTTGGTTTAGCGGGCTTTTAATTCAACCCACGAAAAGTTGAACTTCTAGCAGGTTCCTTAGGTTTTTAGGCCTTCTAGTTGGTTTAGTGGGCTTTTATTCAACCCACGAAAAGTTGAACTTCTAGCAGTTTTTTTTTTTTTTTTTTTTAAAGAAATATATATATGTTTAAAGGTTTTTAGGGTTTTTAGTTGGTTTAGTGGGCTTTTTCTTCAACCCACGAAAAGTTGAACTTCTAGCAGGTTCCTTAGGTTTTTAGGGCTTCTAGTTGAATTAGTGGGCTTTTTATTCAACCCACGAAAAGTTGAACTTCTAGCAGGTTCATTAGGTTTTTTAGGGTTTTTGTTTGGTTTAGTGGGCTTTTTATTCACCCCCGAAAAGTTGAACTTCTAGCGGGTTCCTTAGGTTTTTAAGGCTTTTAGTTGGTGTAGTGGGCTTTTTATTCAACCCACGAAAAGTTTAACTTCCCGCAGGGGCTCTCAGGACAGCGCCCAGTTTAGCTGCCCAAAGGCTAGGTCCCTCGAGTAAGTTGTTTGATTCTAGGAGTCATGTCCCATTCTTTTCAACCATCGTTCTTTTCAAAGCAGCCGTTTTCCCTGGGTTTCCGGAGGTTTTCTAGAAAGAAGGACCCCTGGAAAAAATGGGGAAGGCAATAACAAAGCCAGCCGGATTGACCTCTTTGGCTGGACACAGGTTGCGTTCCGTGTGCCGCAGCAACGGGTTCCAGAGCTGTGTTTTGACACGAGCCGCAGCAGCGGTCAAAGGGTTTGCAAGGACAAGGCTCAAAGCTTTCAGACACCCAAGTTTCAATACATTTCTCAGCTCAGTGGCATTTTCTGTCCCTTCTTTCTTGCTAGATTCTCACCAACAACTCGAATCGACCCAAAAAGGGTTTCCCTTGTCCGACCGGGCGGCTGGTTTGCCAGGACATGATGTGCATACAGAAGCACATCAACGACCTGCAGATTGCCACAGGTCAGCGCCTCAGGCCAAAAGGAAAACAGGTGCAGATGAGAGTGATGTTTCCGTTGTCTGGAGCCACCAAATGTGCTTAGATCCAAGGCTTGGGAGTTGGACTGCACAAAGTACTGCTCAGCTGGAAGCAACTGGATTTTACGCACCATGATTGTTCTTGTTTACCAGGGAGTGAACTGCAATAGTTTGCCCAGATTGTGTGTCTCAACTATCCTCTAAAGTGCTTGGATCCAACTATGGATCACTGGAGATCAATCCATAGTCATGAAATGGACGGTGAAGGGTTGCTCTGATCCAAACCACATTGGGCGCAGCCCTGAGGTTCTTTCATAACTGACCGCCCAGACCCGTGGTGTATGGTGTCCTTGCTTTTTTTTTTTTGGGGGGGGGGGCCAGGTTCCCTGTAAAATCAATCAACGAAAAGGGCACGATTTTCAAGGGCCCCTCTCAAACAAAAGGGTGGAATTTGGGGTTACCCCATTTTTGATCTACAGCCATGTGCCTTTGTTTGCATTTTTGCTTGCTCCGCCACATTGCTCAACACCCCCTCCCCAATTGGAGTGAGTGGAGCCCAAGCAGTCTTGCTGGTTCATTTTCAAGGCCCTCCCCTCCCCCCCCAAAAAAATAACAAGGAAACAGAAAGACAAACAAATTCACGTACCTCACTCTTTATTATTCCTCCCCCTCGGGCTCGCGCGCGTGCGCACGTCACGAGCGACACGAGCGCGAGTGGAGCGACACGAGCGTGAGACGCGTGAGGCGTGTCCCCGCTGCTCCGGGACTTCTCGCTGCACCTCCACGGCGCCCAGAAGAAGTTGCTCCGCGCGCAGCAGCTGGCGCGGAAGCCAACCACCTGGAGGGGTCCCAGGTGTCTCAAAGACAACGCGGGCTCTAAGCAAGCAATTTGGAGGATGGACCTCCCCTCGTGAAACTTGGAGGAACGGATGTTTCACACATATCAAGGATGGAATTCACCCGTTTTTGCCAAAGTCACTGGGTGAAAGGGACATGATCGCCCAGTTTCTGACGTCAGCCATCCCAGACCCTCAAAGGAAGCCTAAGGCCTAAGGAGCCCTAAGGAAGCCCCCCGGCCCGCAATCGACCTTCCGGTGGCGTCCTTCTTTTCGGCTGGCCCCTGCGCTCCCATCGACGCCCCCTCGCTCGGCCCAGCTGGGCGTCCCAACCGCCGAGCGGTCGCGAGACGCTTTCAGGTGCAGACTCTCCTGGAGACGGGGGAGTGGGCCGGGAGCCGAGAGAACCAACATACTTCCCCCGCTTGCGCGATCCCCGATCCCCAATCCCCAAGCAAGCCTGACTGAGGTCTTTCCAAGGCAGCACTTTGTTTGCCTCAAAATAGACTAGGTCCCCCAGTAGTGCCCTTCTCTCCCCTTGTTTGGGTTCCCCTACTAAAATAGACTACAGAAAAGAAGTTGGTACCCTTATTCTAACCTCTCTACTGGAGGACCTAGCAAAAAGTTCACGAGTGACCTCACCCAAAGATCTGAGTAGTCGTGGCTTTTTCTGAGGGTGCCTGCTTTGGGGGCATTTGAACCAGGGGAGCAACAATTGGTGGGACATGGGGGTTTGAACCCCAGGTTCTTGTAAAGGAAACACCCCAACCCCCCAAACCTCCAAACCACCAATCCAAGCCACCAATTGGAGAGAAGCTGGTTTGAAGGGAAACCAGTTAGATCTGCTTAAGCATGGTTGTTGTTGGGACACACTTTAACATCATTGCTTCTTATAATTTAAAGGGGACATCTCACTTAACTGCTAAATTTTGAGAATTTGTGCACCCCTCCAACACTTCTTCAGAATTCGTTCCCTTCTCTTTTCTTTTTGACTTTTTTTGGGGCCCCCTTTGTTTTCCACGAACCAGGCAAAAAAGCTAAAACATTTTGCGGGGGTCCAACTTCCAGCCGGGTCCTGGAGACTCGCTGACTCGCAGGTCGCCTTCTCCGAAGCCTTTGTGCTGTCGGAGGAGACCAAGCAGAAGCGCCGCGCCGGGCTCGGAAAGCTTCGCCCTTGAGGGTCGAAACAAAACAAAAATCGGGGGGGGGGGGGGGTCAATACACAAGATGGGTGTATTACGTGGTAGAAAGACAGGGTTGAAAGTCCAAATCGGGGTTCAATACGCAAGACGGGTGTGGTCCGTGTCAGAAGAAACAAGGAGGTCGGAGGGGCTCATTTGGCCAGGCTGCGAAACCGCGAAACCGCGAACCCGTTTTTTTTCTCCTTTGTTTTTTATTACAATAAAAATCCGCGCCTCGCGGTTTGAATTTCCCTTTGAAGCCACCCTGCTTTCAGGTGTTTTGCCTGCAAAAACGACAGACATGGGAAAGGTTTTGAGGGAAGCCAAAAGGAGAACCACATTTTTTCGGGTCCCCGTATTTCAATACCCATATGGTTGGAGGGTGCTTGAAAAAGCCACATGGTGCCAATGATCGCAAGAGGAACATGTGCGTAATGTGTTGCCTCCTGACCAAAAAAATAAATGAATGGATCGCTGCAAAGCAACAGAATACGAGAAACAGCCCAAGACTTAAGCCTAAGGCCTTATTTATGAAGGACACCTTAAGGGCTGGTGGGACTTTGGATCCCATGAAAGCTTGGGTGGACGGGAAGCGTAAGTCATACAGGTTGAAGTCATGATTTGTCAGTCAAACACATCCAACCGACCTATGATAGCAACTGGAACCACTAGGCTTGGGCCCTTTCAAAGGACACCCAAAGGAGAAGCCATCCATTTGAAGGTCCCTATATAGAGACACACCCCACCTGACATGAGCTCCGAAGTACCTTAATTCCTCTGTGACGTTGGTTTGAAGGAAAACCAAAGGGAAACCATCAATTGTGAGAGACAGTGCCTTTGAGCTTTTTTCCCAGTTAGTTAGTTAGACCAAGTTCTCCAGGCCGGTCTTTCTTGGTCAAATTGCTTCTTGGTCAAACTTATCTCTTCTTGGATGGGGTTCTTTTATTTTTTGGGAGGGGGCCATTGAAATCATCCAAGGGGCAGCTTCCCTTTTCAAGACCCCTTTTGGGACCCCTTTTTGGTGTTCGAAGGGAAACACAAATGACACCTACAAGTGTCACGGATCCATTTTCTTTTTCCCCAACAGCTGGAAGCTCGGGGTCTCTGGACAAGGAGTGCGGCGGGCGTATTGTAATCCGCTCGAACCTTAGTACCCCTTCAAATCCAGCCTATGGTCCATTTGAGGGCACAGAAGCCAAGGGTCGAAGCAATTCTTTTCTCATGTCCCTTCCTGTCCTCGCATGTTGTGACCGCGGCTTTCAGACGTTAATCGTCACCTGGAAGTGGACCCTGAACTGCTCATGGCAGTGAATGAACCAGAAAGCAGTGACCTCAATACTAGGGCCCAGAAAACCCGGGGCCTTTTTCTTTTTGCATCATCTTAGGGAAGGCGATGGGGTCTGGGGTAGACTTAGGATACATTTTACATTTTACCAGTGACTCAAAGGGAAGCAAACAATAGAATATACATTCTTCAGACGCCTAAGTCTAATCATGGGGTCAACCAAAAAAAATCGCCCGAAGGAGTGACCCATTTCTTTCCTCGACGTTTCAATGCCCAGGCGCCGGGGACGGGCCGTCCACACAGCTGCTCATCAAGCCGGGGCCTCGAGATGGGTGAGGCGACGTTGGCCAACCGGAGGGCGAATTAGTAAGACTCGGTGAGACACAAACAAAAATCCCCCAGTACCCCTTTCTCGTCTTTGGTTCTTTAGGTTTTGTTGGCTCTCATGTTTACTGGGGGGGGGGCTGCAAGGAACAAGTGTCTAGGTCCCCCAGCTAGGTGCCCTTTCTCTCCCCTTTTTTTTGGGGGGTTGGGAGGGTTCCCCTGCTAAAACAGACTACTGCAAAAAAATCGAGTACCCTTATTCTAACCTCTCTGCTGGAGGACCTAGCCAACAAAAATCCCCTTTGTCAGGGAAACCAACTAGGCGGGATACAGGGGGAACCACAAATACGGGAGAATCCCCCCGTTTGATGCACCTTGCCTGAGTTTGATATGGGAAATGGCGCCAAGGGGAATCCCCCCTTTGAGACGGCCAAATCGTAGGGAATCCAACACCTTGGTATCGAAGACATCCACCCTGGGACTTGCGGGGGTTTGAATTTTGGCACATGGGTGTGGCTCAAAATTGAAGAGCTGGGGTTACGCAGGTTTTGGTTTTTCTTCCCTTTCAAGGGGCCCAACAATTGATACCACTTTCTTGAGCCACAGCCACATGGAGAGTACTCGCGCCAGTGGCGAGCCCGAACTGAGGCTGCAGGAATCTGCCGCCATCAAGGCGGCCGAGAACTGCGAAAACTTTGGGGGGGGGGGGTGGGAGGGGCGCGCAGCACGTGTCTGTGGCTTTTATGTGTGTGTTTTTTGCGTTATTCTTGTTGTGTTTGCGTGTGTGTGTGTGTGTGTGTGTGTGTCTCTTTCTCTTCCAGCAGGGATTGCCATTCTGCAATAGTGGAGCAGGGTCATGCATGTTCAACCCTGCGTGTATGAGGGAGCTTAACAAACGATGCACATATTTGGCTGACCCGCAAAAAGTGTTGCTCTCATGTGGCGGATTAATTTCTTCTGCGAGACGATGTTATCTACCTTTAAGAATGGAGTACCCATCTAGAAGGATGTACGAACACACTTGAGACATTGAGCTTTGTTTTGTCTGGAGGGTAACACTATGAGACTATGAGGCATGCCCTTAGCTTTTGAGCTTTTTAGTTGGTTCAGTGGCTGGGTTTCCTTTTGCTACCCAGTTAAAAACTTTTAGCACGGCATCAGTTTGCTTGGCGGTTCCCAGTCATGCCCTGAGCTTTTTGGCTTTTTAGTGTTTAGTGGCAGGATTTCCGAGTTTCGCCCACCAAGAGTTTTAGTCAGAATTTCGACCGGGGGATCTGAACACGGACAGCCCCGTTTGGACAGACAGCCCCGGGTCCAAAACCACCCCTTAACCACCCCTTAACCACCAAACCACCAATCCAAAGCACCAATTAGGGGGAAGCTGAATAGGTGTCCTTTTTGGTCGTTTTGCGTAAAAAAGCAAAGAAGGCCCTGGTTTACCTGGTGCTTCAATCATCTACCAGGGAAAGAAATCCCACCCATTTTTCCAAGAAGGACACCTATGTGAAGGCGCAACCAGGGTCCCAAAACGCCCCGGACCAGAAAAAAAACCGCGACGGCGTGTGGAGGTCCTGGAGAAGCATCTGACTTCCATGGAGCTTGCCGCGGAGGCCGACCAGCCCGCCTCCGAGCTTTCCGAGTCACCGAGGAACAACAGCGAAAAAGGGGCAGGCTGAAGGTGTTTCTTCCAGTGGGAGGTCTCGTTTTTTTTTTTTTTGTGTGTGTGTGTGTGTTTTTTTCTTATACCCCCCCCTACACACAAAAAACTAGGGGTCCCCGGATGGTTTATGGGGGTGATTCCCTCCTCCCCTGCTTATCGAACCAGCAAAAACGCGAACGATTTTCGTGTTTGGTGTCCCTTTGCGCCCCTTCAAAGCCAACAAAAAAGGGGTACCCTCGACAAACACCCCAATCGGAGGGGACAACTCTTTTAAAGCAACTATCAAATGGAGGTGCTGTTTTCTCATCACTGGAGGGTGTGGGTTTCCCTTTGCATTTTTAAGGTCAACCAAGCTAAAAAGCTGTGTGTATGTGTGTGTGTGGCCTCGATGCTCGTGGGCAAGTGAGCTTTTCCCACCCCTGCGAAATCGACAAATAAATACAGGTGTATGTATACACTTGTACACATGTGTGCGTATACTCATCCCATCTCATCCCAATTGTCCAAAACTTGAGTTTGACCCCATCCCAATAAGCTGTGTTCTGTTCGGAGCTGGCACCAGTGCCACGGGTGTTTGACCCATAGCCGGTCACTTGTGAGGCAAAGCGGAAGCTAAACCTTGGAAGAGATTGTGGCCCTGAGACTTGGATGCGGAATGGTTCCAAATCCCCAACAATACTTCGCAATTTTCCCCAAAGGAAGCCAGAAACCCATGGACCGACCGGCTTTCCTTTCGCTTTGAGAATGGGACCCCCCCCAACCCAAGAAAAGGTGCGTTTGATTTCCCTTTAGGAACCGCCCCTTTCCAGGGCCTCCTCCAAGAAAAAGAAGGCATGGCAGACCCACATTGCCTCAAATTGTGTTTATCGCCGCTCCAACAAAAAAAGAAGGCATTAAGCAGACCCACATTGGAAAAACAAAATGAAAAAAAAAAAAAAAAAAAAAACGCCGGAGCCAATGTGCTCGTTCCTCAGACGCCTCTTGAAGCCGCCGCTCCGAGGCTGAAGCTCACCTCCAAGCCGGTGGCGGGCAAGCGCACGCCCGGGGCCCCTGAACAACAGTATGTTTCTTTTTTTTCTGCCACCTGAAAAAGTATCTTTCTTTTTTTCTTCTGCCACCTGCAAAAGGATGTTTCTTTTTTTCTTCTGCCACCTGCAAAAGTATGTTTCTTTTTTCTTCTGCCACCTGCACAAGTATGTTTCTTTTTTTTCTGCCACCTGCAAAAGTATGTTTATTTTTTTCTTCTGCCACCTGCAAACGTATGCCATCATGTTTCTTCTGCCAGCTGCAAAAGTATGTTTCCTTTTTTTCCTCCCACCTGCAAAAGTATGTTTCTTTTTTTTTCTGCCACCTGCAAAAGTATGTTTCTTTTTTCTTCTGCCACCTGCAAAAGTATGTTTCTTTTTTCTTCTGCCAGCTGCACAAGTATGTTTCTTTGTTTCTTCTGCCACCTGCAAAAGGATGTTTCTTTTTTCTTCTGCCAGCTGCAAAAGTATGTTTCTTGTTTTTTCTCCCACCTGCAAAAGTATGTTTCTTTTTTATTCTGTCACCTGCAAAAGTATGTTTTTTTTTTTTTTTTTTAATTCTGCCACCTGCAAAAGTATGTTTCTTTTTTCTTCTGCCACCTGCAAAATAATGTTTCTTTTTTTCTTCTGCCACCTGCAAAAGTATGTTTCTTTTTTCTTCTGCCACCTGCACAAGTATGTTTCTTTTTTTTCTGCCACCTGCAAAAAAAACGATTCTTTTTTTTTTTCCGGAACCTGCAAAAGTATGTTTCTTTTTTTTCTGCCACCTGAAACAGTATTTTTCTTTTTTTTTGCCACCTGCAAAAGTATGTTTCTTCTTTCTTCTGCCACCTGCAAACGTATGTTTCTTTTTTTCTTCTGCCACCTGCAAAAGTATGTTTCTTTTTTCTTCTGCCACCTGCACAAGTATGTTTCTGTTTTTCTTCTGCCACCTGCAAAAGTATGTTTCTTTTTTTCTTATGCCACCTGCAAAAGTATGTTTCTTTTTTCTTCTGCCACCTGCAAAAGTATGTTTCATTTTTTCTTCTGCCACCTGTAAAAGTATGTTTTTTTGTTCTTCTGCCACCTGCAAAAGTATGTTTATGTTTTCTTCTGCCACCTGCACAAGTATGTTTCTTTTTTTCTGCCACCTGCAAACGTATGTTTCTTTTTTTCTTCTGCCACCTGCACAATTATGTTTCCTTTTTTTTCTGCCACCTGCAAAAGTATGTTTCTTTTTTTTTCTGCCACCTGCAAAAGTATGTTTCTTTTTTTCTTCTGCCACCTGCAAAAGCATGTTTCTTTTTTCTGCCACCTGCACAAGTATGTTTCTTTTTTTCTTCTGCCACCTGCAAACGTATGTTTCTTTTTTTCTTCTGCCACCTGCACGATTATGTTTCCTTTTTTTTCTGCCACCTGCAAAAGTATGTTTCTTCTTTTTTCGGCACCTGCAAAAGTATGTTTCTTTTGTTTCTGCCACCTGCAACAGTATGTTTCTTTTTTTTCTGCCACCTGCAAAAGTATGTTTCTTGTTTTCTGCCACCTGCAAAAGTATGTTTCTTCTTTTTTTTGTCACCTGCAAAAGTATACATATATATATATGAAAATATGTTTTTTCTGCCACCCGCAAAAGTATGTTTCTGTTGTTTTTCGGCCACCTGCAAAAGTATGTTTCTTTTTTTTCTGCCACCTGCAAAAGTATGTTTCTTTTTTTCTGCCACCTGCAAAAGTATGTTTCTTTTTTCTGCCATCTGCAAAAAATGTTTCTGTTTTTTTTTCTGCCGCCTGCAACAGTATGTTTCTCTTTTTTCTGCCACCTGCAAAAGTATGTTTCTTGTTTTTCTTGCACCTGCAAAAGCATGTTTCTTTTTTCAGGAGGCGCGCTGATAAACGACCGCTGTGTTTCGAGCACTTTCGCGGTTTTCGCCTAGGTTTCGTGACATGTGAGACCTTTTTCCAGGTTGCCGTTGGGCCTTTTGCTTGTGGCGTGGGGGGTGGGGGGGGGGGGATGTTTGCGGCATCAGCAGGCGCTCGTTAGTTTTGGCTCAGCATGGAGGAGTTTCGGGAGCACCTGGCCTTAGTGTTGCTCCTTCGGGTGGCGCATGTGCGTTTGCCGCCCCTCTTGCGTGACTGGGCGTCCTATGATGCTCTGCAGCTAGATGAATGGCATTCAGTGTTTCGGCAGACTGGCATTTGCTTTCCTTTCTTCCGTTTCCGTACATTTGGTCTTGCATGTTTCTTGGATTTTTTTTCTTGCCGGCAAGCCGTTGCCCAAGCAGTACCAGGCACACATGCGCATTGTCGCAGTGAAGATGCGGCAAAGCAAGCCAGGTCTTCGAGGAGGTCGAGTCGCCATCCAATGGCTGCCGTGGAAGTTGGTGCCACCACAGGCTTCTCCGCCTGTGGAATCTCAGAAAGCGCCTCGGCCATCCATCAGTTTGCTTGCTTTGTGTTAAGCCCACCTCTTTCTAATTCTGATTCCTGCTTTGTGTTGCTGGCAACTGCGCCTAGCGGGCTCAGGAAATTCGAAGCGTGAAGATTCTGCGACATGTGCGACGGTCTGGGCGGGACAAGGCAGTGCTCTTTTCAGATGGGGCGCTGGCCTGGCCGGCAGAATGCAAAGTTTTGAAGCTTAAGAACAAATTTCTGTTTGCCATGGGCGCCAACAATTCGCCCGCGAAATTCGAAAGCAGAAGGCAGGAGGCGTCACGACTGCCGGGACACAGGTGCTGGACAGGTGGTGGCAGGGGCTCGATGAGTTTGTGCCCTCACAGCTGCGCAATAAATCTGACCATGGGGAAAACCCCATGCTTCGCAGGTACGCCTATGCTTACCTGTGGAGGTATCATATCCCAAATGGGACCAATTTGCTAGATGCCTTTGGGGACATCTTGTGACAAAGCCATGTCGAACGTGTGACAAAACACACAGCATGAACCCTATACACAGCATGAATGAACCCTAGCATGACACCTGTTCTTGACCAAACGTTGAAGTGCACTCAAGACATGGCTAGGGGAAACAAGAAGGTCGCCGCATGGATGATAGAGAGACAAAAAGCGCCTCGAACGGCAAGTGCGAGGCAGGCGGGCATGGGCGCGGGGCTAAGGCGGCATGCATGGATTCATAGAATAGACCACGGTCAAACATCAACACGTGACCTTTTTTCTGCCACCTGCTACAGCATGTTTCTTTTTTTCTGCCACCTGCAAAAGTATGTTTCTTTTTTTCCTGCCACCTGCAAAAGTTTGTTTCCTTTTTTTGGCCACCTGCAAAAGTATGTTTCTTTTTCTTTCAGCCACCTGCAACAGTATGCTTTTTCCCCGCCACCTGCAAACGTATGTTTCTTCTTTTCTGCCACCTGCAAAAGTATGTTTCTTTTTTTCTGCCACCTGCAAAAGTATGTTTCTTTTTTTTCTGCCACCTGCAAAAGCATGTTTCTTTTTTCTGCCACCTGCAAAAGTATGTTTCTTTTTTTCTTCTGCCACCTGCAAAAGTATGTTTCTTTTTTCTTCTGCCACTTGCAACAGTATGTTTCTTTTTTTCTGCCACCTGCAAACGTATGTTGTTTTTCTGCCACCTGCAAAAGTATGTTTCTTTTTTTTCTGTCACCTGCAAAAGTATGTTTCTTTTTTCTTCTGCCAGCTGCACAAGTATGTTTCTTTGTTTCTGCTGCCACCTGCAAAAGTATGTTTCTTTTTTCTTCTGCCACCTGCAAAAGTATGTTTCTTCTTTCTTCTGCCACCTGCAAAAGTATGTTTCTTTTTTTCTGCCACCTGCAACAGTATGTTTCTTTTTTTCTGCCACCTGTTCTGTTTCTTCTGCCACCTGCAAAAGTATTTTTTCTCTGCCACCTGCAAATGTATTTGTCTTTTCTTTTTTCTGCCACCTGCAAAAGTATGTGATACCGTGGAGGGTTGCGAAGCCCGTTTCGCACCTAAGAAACTCTGGAATGATTCGATGCCCCTGTAAATGCATGACGAAGAATGGTTTCCCATGGTCTCGAAGTGGTTCAGGATTACATCCATCCACGGTATATTAGGGTAAACTGAACATGGAACGTCCGGATATCAAACTATTTTCAGTGTACCCGAGATGGCCACGCCAGGATTCTGGGCAAATCTTCAACTAGCTCAGGGGGTGAAACGAGCTCGCGCACTGATGGCTCTTATTTCCGGTGTGTGAAGTCTAATAGTTTGCCGAAGGGCCTCGCTGGTGGGCCCCGGAATTCCCGCTGGTTTCGGCGAGGCTTTCAGCGCCTTCGGTTGGGGGGGAGCTGGGATCCAGCCCGCGTGTCAACTGGGGGGGGGGGGTAAAGAAGATGGGGTGCCTCAAAGCCGTGGAAACATCTCGTGCGACTGCAAAAGGCCGGGAAAAAGGCAGACCCTCATGCACCGAGGTATTTCCTCGGTGTCTTTTAAACTTTCTTTGCAATGCCTGTCCCCTTCTGGACTCCCAATAAAGATCTGGGTTCTCACGCTGTCAAACTCGCATTTCGGTCCCGGTGGTTCCGTTGAAGCCATTTAGAGGGTCGTTTTGAGGATGTCTCGCTGAAATGGACCCGCTTCGAGAGTGCTTTGCAATGCCTCTCGGGTGCCTCGTGCGTTGTGTTGAAAGCCATGAACCGGCCTGCCTCATTCCGGCGTTTTTGCCGTGAAACGGGGGACTTGGCAGGCCGCGGCAGGCTTCAAGAGGTTGACCCACCCCCAAAAGCAAAGTGTGGAGCTCCCCTAAAACGTGACGAAAAAGAGAACCGAAGCCGCATGGGTGTCCTTTTCGGTTGTTTTGCTAAACAAATAGATGGCGATTCCTGGTTTATCTGGTGGTTTAATCATCTACCAGGGCCATCTATTTCCCCTAAAAGGACACATATGCGAAGCCGTGTTCGACGCTTCAAAACCAGACTTTTGGACTTTGTCCGAGGCTGATGGTGGAGGGGCCGCCCAAGGCCCACGAGCGCCCAAGCCTCGAGTTGTTTCCAGAATGTTGTTTGGGGGTGTCTTAAAAGGGGTGGGTTTGCCCCGTTGAATATCAACCCAACAGAGGGCTTCCCCCCCAAAAAAATAACAAGACAGACATTTGGGCAGGGTTTCCGAGCCATTTCCCTTTTCAGGGTTGATTCTAAACGTGGCGATCGTTTCAATGGACAACACCGATCAATCGCAACTTTTGAAAAATATCTCCAGTGACCCCTGAGGGTACAGACATGGCTGTGGTTGTCAAGAACGTTTTGGGATCCCAATTTGGTTGCCAGGTGAATTCACCACCCATTTTAAAACCTATTTTAGTGGGGATTGAATCGGATGTTCACTGCGGGCTAACCGGGATTTTGACCCACAGCCAAATGTTGAGACTCTGAGATGGTCTTGGGGCGATTGCTAAATAGTTCACCATAAGGGGTCTGATGTGGGCTTGCCTGGGGGTCACTCAGGGAAACTGAGGGTCACCAGCCAAGCTAGCTCCGCCATCTAAGCACTCCGAGACATCGCTTGCTGGGATTGACAACTTTCGTTCCTTTTCCAGACCAAAGTGAAGCAGGATAGCAAAAAGGGGGCCGTTTGTTTTTCCGCCAGCTTCTCACGTTCACACGGCTTGTATGAAAAGGACGGTGGGGCAAAGACGGGTTTCATTTTTGCGCACTTTGGGGAAACCACAGTTCTTGCTTCAGCAGCGCCACATCTTGAGCTCCGAAAACTGCCGCCCCCTGCGACACTTGACAGCCGCGAACACGGGTCCAACTTTTCTGGGATGTTTAATCAGCTCGGGCTGGTGAAGTATTGCACTTGTTTTGAACTTCGTGCCTCCAAACTATACCAGTCAAAAGGGATGGCATTACAAGCGGGCTTCTTGAGGGAACAAGGGTCTTGCAGGCACAGCTGCTGCAGAAGATTTCAGAGACATACTGTGGATGGACGAATTCCTGCACCGCTTTGAAATTATGGGAAACCATCGTTTCTTGGTATTTTTCAGGCGAATCATTATTTTTCGGGGTTTCTGAACGGTGGTGCGAAATGGCAGGGGCTCAAAAAAAAGCCGGTACCAAAATCCAAACCTGGTAAGTGGAAACATGGACCACCACCTGCATAACCCCTCCTGGTTAATTTTGAGCCCCACCCAAATGGATTTCGCAACCATCCACGGCACGCATGTAAACGCGCCGGAGCCCAGGCGTGAAGCTCATGGTGAAGGAACTCCTGGAGAAAGGCGAGTCCTCCGGTGGAGCAGAAAGCCCATCTCAGGGCTTTGACCAAGAATTTGGGGCTGGTCGGAAGCTGTGCCAAGTGGTTCAGAGTTTTTTTGTTGGCAAAAGGACAGAAAATGGCGGGCTACCTGAAACACAACTGATGTTCTAGCTGTGCTTCCAATCATTCTGTTCGGCAATTATGCTTTTCGCAAGATTGCCCAACCAGCAGAAACATTTGGCGGTGTAAACGAATCATGGGTGGAACGAATGGGCGCGGAATAAACTTTGATTTGCTCCAGATGCTGTTCCCATTTGATTGACCGGGTTTGATCTATCCCATGCAGGATTTTTCCATCCACTGTCCCACATGGCACATACTTTTTCGAGTGGGAACCGCTCTTTAACCCACCACTGACTTGTTTCAGGATGCCACTTGACAGTTGTTGCCATTTTTTTCAGGTGTTCAGTTGTTGTTTTGGTTCTGTACTCATTGTTCGTGGCGGGGGTGGCTACTAAAATGGTTGGTTGGTTCAGGTTGCTTGAACTGACGGGAACTTGTTTTTTCTTCAGCGAACTCCAGGTGCGTCGCCGATGCTCACCAAGTTCCTGAACGGCTCCAAGGCCGGCACCGGACGCCCGGAAGCCCGGAAATTGGGGGAAGGGGGGGGGGGGGGGGGGGAGCGGGGTGGTTTCGGTGCTGGTTTTGTTGAATGCCACGGCTTACGACAACAAGGGACAGGTTTTGTTTTCTTTTTTGGGGTTTCTTAGTTGATTTTTGATTGGTGTGGCAAGTGTGGAGAGGATATCCACTCACTTGTCCAAAGCGAATCGACCTTCTGACTGTTGGATACTTTCGGGATTTCCTTTGGTCCGTGTTAAAATGAGCTATCCCCAAAAGGATAACTTGGTTTTTTCAGGGGTGAGCGAACAGGGATCAATCTCAATTGAAACTTTGAAGGAAGGTATGAGCCCACATGATTAGAACGTGGTACACTTTTCACCTTGGTCAAAGGGGAACCAAAAGGACAAACACTTCTTCTTCTTCTTCTTCTTCTTCTTCTTCTTCTTCTTTTTGGGAGGGTGGGCTCTCCTGTATTTTCACACATACCCATACGTGCACAACACAAGGTATGCCGAGAAGGCAATTTTGAAGCGCGGTTTGTGAATGTCTTCCATTCTCCCCCTTGGTTCTCTCTGAGTACTCTTTTGGTACATGTGTAGGGGAGGTATGCTGCATGAGCCACGGTTGTCCTTTGAAGACCTTGTTGGAAACACGTCAATACATTGGCCCCAAACTTGCCTCTCCTCCAAAACAACAACGTGGCAAACGGGCCACCCAGATATAAAGCGCTCGTTCATGGGTGAATTCGCACTGATGGCTGAATATGATGCGGACCACCTGCTAAAGGAGCCCACCAGGAACCATTTAAGCCACACATCCAGATTAGCATGAGGCCTCGACAAATTCCTCTACACTTGAAAACTGCGGGTTCACGATAGCGCTTGTTCCGCTGCTGCTAAGAATGCACGCTGTTTGCGATATGTTTGTTTAGTGAGACGTGGCGTGGGTCGTCAAGGGGATGACATTGGCATGGGGCAAACATGTCTTAGGGTTCCATGTCAACCTGCATTCCCAGTTTCCATTTGATCTCCCATTTTTATCAACAAGGCAAAAAGATACACCCAAATAAACGAAAAGGATTTTCCCCTCGGACAAAAATGGGTCCTGAGCAGGTCGTGTTTTCCATCCTCTCCTGACACAAAGCACCCTAACGCGCTGTCGGTGCCCAGGTCACAACATGGCACAGGAGGGGCCGTGTGCAGAAGGGAGCAAGGTCTTACCGAGGTTGTGACCCATTCTTAGGTCCTTCTAAGAGCTAACTCTGTTGTGGGTGCATGATAGCCCCGAGCGCTCAACAAACCGCTTATTATTTTGACCCAACATTTTTGGGCTCCGCTCTTTTCCCCTGTTGAGGGGTTGGTCCCCTTCAGAATGCGCAATCTTTGTTTCTTTGTCTACCTTTCAACTTCGCAAATGACAGCTTACGCACTAACTAGTCCAAGTAGCAAGACCTTAGGCCTTCTACACGGGGTCAACAGCCAATTCGCCAACCAGGGCCAAGCCCTTTCTTCTCCGATGGGAAGCCACTGATTGCAAAGGAGTGATTCTGCAGAGGGGTGTCAATCACAACGAGCTGGAGTTCCCGAACGTGAGTTGCAACCTAGTTGAAGCGGTAGATTGATAGTTTTCAAAGGAATACCGGGATCTCCTTTGAAATATATGATTGGACTTTGGAAGGTTCACTGACTGCGGAACAAACTCGAACATGTTTAGAATTTGGTTGGGCCCCAAAGGCTGAGGCTTTTGAAACGTTTGCTTTCTGTCCGATTGACTCATTGCATTTTTTCCCGGAGCCACAAACCAAAAGCTGAAGGAGAGGGTTTACATGGGAGGGTCATGCCCCTTGGGAACCAATTCGAGGGGTCGAATTCTCAAACTGGGCGTCCAACACGAATCCAAGCTCCACCCCCCCCCCCATCTGTGAGTGTGTGCTAACGCGTGTCTCCCTTTTCATGACTCTGCTTGATGCCTGGCGATGATTTTTAAGAGGGAGCCGCCTACCAGCTGGCTGCTGGACATGAATCCCCGCCAGACTGGCCACGCCCCCAATGATTCACATCCCAGCGTTTCCGTTCGAACCATGTGCCCCACCCCCCCACCCCCCGTATTACGTATGGGGCGCGGCTTTCTGAGAATTCTGGAGACTCTTGGGAAACCCCAGGAAGGCACTAGCAACGACTGGAGGGCTTGATCAAGCCCTGCTTCGGGCGGTTTCAAGGGGTTAAAGCCAAAGGACAACCACATAATTTTGCGGGTCCTCTATTCTGGGCTGCTCAAAGGTAATCCTTAATCCTTACCTTGGGTTACACAAGGGGTCCCCTTTGTAGCGGCTTCCCTAGAGGGACTATGGACTAGTATTGGCCAACCCTCCATTTTGAACAGCCCAGAAGTACTTCCAGCTATTTTGGCACATACCCACACCACCGAAAAATTGAAAATCAGGAACTGTCCATGGTTCTTTGGGGAAGCTCCTGGTTGGGGCTATTGTGATACCCAAAGGACATCAGGGCTCCTTAAGTTTTAAAAAATATATCTCCATTTTGCAACGAATTGAAACATGTTGCTTTTAAACAACACCAAAGTAAAGTTGGACACCACCATGTACAAGGGACACCACCATGTACAACGGGGCTCCTTAAAAGATACATTTTGCCCATTTAAAACATTGCTTTTTCCACTAAAATAAAGGGACACCAGCATGTACAGGTTGCAATGTTCCGATGTGTTTTTCCATGTAAGGATACCCATACATCAGCGCCGCAGGACTGGGGCCCTTCCACCTCCCTACACGGGGTGGCGCCGCCGGCCATCTCCGTGAGCAGCCGAAAGCTGAGTCGGGACTTCTGTGGGTTGAAGTACTCGTCTTTGTTGGACCTGTGGGTTGAACTTCTGTGGGTTGAACCTACGCACTCTACACCCACAGCAAGCTCATCTTGTTCTCGCTGGACGGTACAGGACCCAGTTTGAGGTCAGAACCCCCGACGGGGCCGCTCGAGGGCGACTGGCAGCAGGTGTCTGTACACAAAGGAGGATCCCAAATGGAGCCAGGATCTTATTACGCGCTACTGGACACCCCGATTCTTCTGGGTAAGGGCTCAGCGGATGACGTCACGAAATCCAGCGAGATCACTATGTTCTTGAGCTTCGTATGAAGGTCCCTCATGGCTTGCTCAACTCAGGTTGACGAATCATGGCTCCAATTCGTGCAGATGTATAAAGCCGGGGGGGGGGTATGGGGGGCGTTGCCCCAGCAAAAGGGGGCGCTTCCTTCCATACATGTTCTGGCTCAAGGGAAACTATGTATGAGATGGCACGCTTTTCCATGGGGGTGCAGGCTGTTCAAACTATCTAAGAAGGGCCCATTTCCGCTTTGAGGAACCCGCACCTTGTGATTTGCTACATTACCACTTTGTCCGGTTGCAAAGCTGGGGTATACCATGTGTAGCTAGCATGTCTAATCATGTCTGAGGCCCGTTTTTCGTGGAACCCCCGTGAACATTATTTTTGAGTGCTTTCGGAGACAACCGATGGATGTTTAATATCCTTAAGTCTTCCGTGGGTGAAATCCATTCTCACGGCGCGAAACGGAGGGTCACCTGACTGGCAAACCGGTGCACCTGAAAAAGACCTGGAATGCACCTGTCTCTATTTCTCCCTCCTACCCTTCCTCTTTCACACTGCTCGGTGCAGCACTGGGGTTAACACGATTCGCATCCTGATTTGCGACAAGATTATTTGTCATGGTTGCAGTGCGTTTGCCCTCCCAAAGAGTCCAAGTACCTCCTGAGGATGGCTTTTGGGGGGTAAAAAGGGTTCTAAGTACCTCCTTAGAAGGTACTTGGACGGGCAGTTCAAGCTGAGTGGCGGACAGTCCAAAGCAAACTGAGTTGGGTGGGGTCGTCCGTTTGATTAAGCATTGGGGTTGGGGGTTGTACTTCTTACCAGGTGATGCTTATGACTCGTTTGTTTCCTGCTGTGCGTTCTCATTTCTTCCTCCATCCGTGAATCTGGAGCTTTCGAACTGGAAGAGGGGTGAGCGGGATGGTTCATCCGTAAGCCTCGGGCGTAGCGTAGCCCCAGGCGACTTCAGAGGTGGTTCGGTTTCAATGGGTGCTGATTGGTGCAAGCGATCTCCGACAAATCGAACTGCCTTTGAAAGAAGCCAAGGACACCCGCCGAATCAAAGGGCACTTTGGGGCCCCTTGTGAGGCTCCGGCTGAATTATGTGGGCGGAATCAAAGGGACCGGCCATTCACGAGCGTGCAGCCAAGGAGCACTAAGAAGCTGGGTCCCCCAGTAGTGCCCTTTTATCCTTTTTGGTTGGGAGGGTTCCCCTACTAAAATAGACCACAGAGAAAAGTTGGTACCCAGAAATTCTAACCTCTCAAATCTGGAGGACCTATTGGGGTAAACCGCTTTCACCTGGGTCCCCCAGCGTTCGCAGCACCTGCGAGGTTCTGTGGCGCCCGGCGTCATCGCCGCGCCTCCGGCCGGGCACCCAAAGGGCCGAAGCGACTGGGCGCGCTTTTGGGAGGGGTGCGAAGAAAAACGGGAAACCACCCCCAAACCTCCAAACCACCAATTGGAGAAGCTGGTTTGAAGGGAAATCAGTTAGATCTGCTTCAGCATGGTTGTCGTTGGGACACATTTTTTCATTTTTGCTTCTTGTGGTTTGGTGGGACATCCCCACTCAACTGCTAAAGTTTAATTTCTTGCTCCCGACATCAAAAGGAAAGACCATGACTTCGGGGGGGGGGGGTTCTTGGTTTGATACCTAGATATTGCTTGAAGTGCGGTCCCACCACTGGGTGCTCGTTTTTTGGAGGGTGCCCGTGGTGGGGTGGTTTTGCGAATCAAAGGGAAAACCAGGAGGGCGGGGGGGGTCCTTTCTTTTGATACCCAGAGATCGTGAGATTGAGATCGGTTCTTTTCTTTTTTTCCCAAGAATCTGAACAACTTACGATCACCTGCCCAAATCGAGCTCGCCCAGAAGCGCCCCCCCTTTCTTGGGATCCGTAGAACTCGGCTCGTTTTAGTTGACCAACCCCTCAAGCTATGACCAGTTTTACTGTCAGCGCACCCTAGGGGGAGCACAATCATCACAAGGACAGCCAAAACCTTTAATTAACAGGTGCGGCAAGCAAATCGTTGGATATTTCATGGGTTGAAAAGTACACACCTGTAGCGCCATTTGTTGAGTTTGGCTTATTTGTTTTCTAGTGCTTTCCAGCGCGGGAATTACATAGATCCTTTCAAGGGGACCCTCAGAATCGATCTGAGGCGTTTCGATGTGCGCTAGTTTCGATCGCAGGTTCCCCATGTCGGTGGTGTTTCTTAGTTGCTCAAAGTGGCCCCAGCAACGCGAGCATTCCAGGACGCAGTCACGGCGGCCGTTGGTCAAATGAGATTAGTTGAGATCCTTTGGGACAGTTTTCAAAGGGGGCCGACGGGATTTGTCAAGCATTTGGAGGGTCAAGAGGTTCGATACACTGGTTTCAGCCCTTGCACTTTAGTTGGGTGTTTGGACAACTTAGTAACCTAGATTGTAAGCCACCTACAAGTCTCTGGCCGAGTTATTCTAAAGGGTTACAACCCAAGTGGCTAACCACTAAGTTGGCCGAGCATCCAAGTATTCAAGGTGCTCCTTTCAGAGGCAAAGTTCTAGGACTGCACGCCGAAGTTTGTTGTCAACCTGTTCTTTCATTTTCCCTTCTGAGCGCGGCCCAAATCTCTGGGCATCTCTGGGCGACAAAATAGCCCCATGCCCATTTCTGCTTTGTAGATCCCTGGTGTATCATTCGGCAATACCTTGATTCAACATGTTTGGACATGCATTGACATGTTCCCAAAAGGAAGAAACCCAAAGGAGATGGGCAGTTGGTTGGTGTTCTAGCCCCCCCACGACACTCGCTACACCTAAACCAGGAACTTCTTGGCGAGAATCTAGCCCCCTGTGTTGTCAGAATAGAGGAATCCTGCGCTCTGTGAGGTCTTGGCAAAGCCACCGGAAGTGAAGGCGGAGGTGAAGGCGGAAGTCAAGGCGGAGGTGAAGGAGGAGGTGAAGGTGAAGGAGGAGGTCAAAGTCAAGGAGGAGGTGAAGGAAGAGCCGCTTTCGGACGAGGCGCGGGGGAGGCTGCCTGCCTGAGTTAAGAGAGAGAAAGAGAGAGAGAGAGAGGTAGAGATAGAAGAGTTGTTGCTTCGCTTGGCAAGCAGCTATCGGTGTTGCAGGTTGATGGGCATCGTGCTGGGTCAAAATGATGCGTGTCATGCTTCCCCAACAGCAAACCCCAACTCCTGATTGTTCTGTTCGGATTTTGCAAGGCCAATCTGAGACATGAGCATCCAAAGCCCTGAGTGCAGGGAACTCCCAGCCATGAGAAGCAGCTTTCCGCGTCGGGTTGTGATATAGACACCTCAGCATGAATGTCGAGGTTGGGACGTCCATTTCAAAAAGGGCGTGGCAACTCAACTAATCAAAACGCACCAAGCCCGCATTCAGGCCTCTTTTCAATCGCCGTTTGGTTCTTTGTGGAGGCTGCATCAAGACCCAGTTTGTGCACATGGTGTCGAGCCAACTGAGGAAGGTTTGGCCAGCAGGGGCAGCGGCAGAACCCTTCGGCAGACTTGGGCACATGCTTGCTTGAGTCGAGTGCAACATTTGGACATTTAGCGGTTGCTCGATTTCTTCTGAAAGTCCCCCTGTTTTAGGCCCGAGGTGTACATTCCATCAATCTACACAAACACGACGAGCGAACCCAACGGAGGGGGTGGGGCATGAAGGATCACTTAACGGGGCTTCCTTCTTTGGTGTTCAATTATCTACAGGGAGTCTCCACGACCCTTCAAACATAGGGTCACTACCTGAAATAAAGGGCTCAAGAAGGAGTTGCCCAAGCTACCCCCTGCCCTGGAAAGGGGTTTTCTACTGTCCAGGAGGGGCCCAAGAAGGAGTTGCCCAAGAAGGAGTTGCCCAAGCTGGCGGCGCGGGGCCAAGGATGCTCGTGATGGAAGGTCCATCTGGAAAATGGCGTGGGGAAATTCAGATAGTCCTCTCAGGCTTGTGGGATCACTCGGGGTTCCTGTGGAAACAGCGACTTGTGGGATCACTCGGGGTTTATCCCGTGATACGAGGGAATCTGCCCCTTTCTTTTTTTCTTCGGGGGTTGATAGGTGGTTGGTCCCAGTCCTCACGTAGTCCTCTAAGAGAGAAGCTAGTGATGGCAACCCACTGCATGGAAAGGTTGTGTTCACAAGCCGGCGGTTTTTGGTGTTATGGGTGTTTTCCTTTTGGCTTCCCCAAAAAAACCAACCAACAAAACGACGCACGCATTTGCAGATGTCACTTGGTGAGGGCTACGGGTTTGTCCCTGTGAACCGCAAGCACCCAAATAGTTGTTGTCGCCGTTGTCACCCCTTGGTTTCCCTTCAAGACATCCCCTTCGTTGGGGGTGTAAAACATCTAGATGTTCGGTTCCGAACCCATCACCCGGAAGGCACAGGAAGACTACGGAGGGGACTTCCGGGGCAAAACAGAATCCTCCACATGCTATGCCCAGCGATTCCATTTACTTTAGGCGCGGGTCTTTTTCCATGAAAAAAGACTGGAGCTAGAAGGAAAAGCACAGATTACCTATCGTACAGGTACTCCCCTGCAAATCAACATGGACCCCCTTCCCAACAAGGAAGATTCTACATGCACAAAGCCAACAGAAAGCACAGGCTGCTACGAATTTGAGATGCCCCCCGGGCGGGGAAAAAGAACAAAACAAGAGGACAACAGCTTTTTCATGGTTCCGGGATCGTGGCGTGAGGCCAACTTCCGGTTGCTGGCGGCCCCCAAGAGGATGAAGGCGGCCAAGGGAAAGGCGAAACCGCCCACCGAGGCACGGGGCGAAAGCCGGGGAGGGGTGCTCAGTGGGAAATCACAACAATCCCTCAAAGGAAGCCACGAGAAGAATAGTTCACAGGACGTTGGCCTCTGATTTTTCTCTCCAAACGAGGAGGGCGGGAGTCACCTCAAGTTTTTTGTTGCCCGTTAGAAGGCCTGACTTTTCGGGGGCTTATTGTGGCACTTTGCCAGTAGAACAATTCAATTGCCCTCAGTTTTCACATTTTGCGGATCTTATCATCAGCACCCACCAAGAAAGTGATCCAGTTTTAATTGGAGTGGTCGAGTGAGCTTGGGCTCTGGCAGGGGCAGGATTGGTGGAGTGGAGGCCCCGGTGGCTGGCTGCAAGCAAGCTATTGTTTCAACCTCATTCCGGTTTTCCATTTCCGGTCGGGATGCGAATGCAACAAACAAAGCACTCGGACACGAAGGGGCCACATATACAGGGAAGCAACACAGAGCTCGGACAAATTGGCATAGCCGCAATTTCAGGCGCGAACATGGGCTCGATTTTGCCAAGGCGCCTTGCACGCCTTCGGGCCTTGAAGGGATAAAATTAGGACCTGAACATGTGCAGCACCCCTCGTCAATGGGGCGGGGGTACAAAGTACATGTGAAAATCAAAACTCGGGTAGATGAAGGCTAGCAAGGGCGATCCCAACCATAAATAGCTGCGGAGATCCGCCTTCTTGATCCCTTACATGGTTCTGGGTTCACCCTTTTTTGTACCGGGTTTTGCGTATGACTCATGTTGGCTAGGGAGATTGTGGCGGAAAGCCTCCACTTTTCTCAGGCCGTTGGGGTGGGGATGGGGCTTTTTCCGAATTCGTGGTGGTTGTTGGGAAACATTTTACATTTTTGCCGATTCTGGTTTAGGGGTTGAAATCCAACCACTGAACTGCTAAAAATTGAGTTTTTTTGCTTCCCTTCCAACGTGAACCAAGAGTCTTTGGCGGTTTTCAGGACGACATGCCACAGGCAGTCACCGTGGAGGACCTCTTTGCTGGGCTACCCCTGCAGGGAGCCTCCAGCAACCTTCGATCCGGGAAGCGCAGTCTGCGCCCGACAATTGCTACTTCGACCCATTTGGTTAAGAATATGTTGTTTTTATTTTCCCCTGTTGGTTTTAAAGGGAATCAAGTTCACGACTGGACATATTTTCTCATTTTTTCCAGGGGACTCAAGCAAATGGAGGACCATGCCATGCCCCAACAACCGTGCCAGTCAGCTTTCAGATTCGCAAGCTCCGGAAGCCAGCCGTCTATATTAGTCATGCCTCGGATACTCCATCCCAATTTTTTAGCCGGTCACGCAATGACGCCGTATGTGCCTGACAAGCTCCGAGATCAGAATGACTCCGCGGAACATGAGATGCTGAAGCTGTGGTTTTGATCAACCGTGCACCTGAGGATTAGATGAAAACGCGTACTTGCATGTCCAGCGCCCAATTTGCTTTGCGGCCATTCCACGTGTGTGTGTGTGTGTGTGTGACCAATGCAGGCTCTGAAAGCCCTTGATTCTGGAAGCCGAATCCGTTCGCTCAAGATTGTCCAGATGATCTCTACATTGCCAGCACCCCCCCCCCCCAAGAGCTGCTTTTCCGGACATGGGAAAAAGCAGCTGTTGCGGGGTCCTACGACGTTTCTACTTGGGGTTTCAATTTGGGCCAATGATTGAGCTTCTCCTTGGTAGGGACCCGTGACCTGGTCCGTGTTCCACACGCCTCCACCTCTTAGCTTCACGATTTGGGGGGGATTTGGCCAGCTTCTGGCTGCCTTTGGCCCGCAGGCGTTCGCTAAGGCTGAGGAGGGGCATGCCATTTTTCGGGTTTGATGGCTTGCTTTGTGTGAGCATGGTTGCTCCTTGTAGTGAATCACATCACATGTTGTATCGGCTCCAATCTGTGAAGCCGCACGGGCACGTGTCGAAATCAGGGAACCTTCAAAAACTGGCTGCCAACTTTGGTTCGAAACTCTAGGGGTCCTGCTGTTTGTGTCTCATCCATTGTTCCCTTGCGCAATCCTCAAAACAAACATCTTGGGACGTGCTCCTCCTCCACTTCTGCTTCTCCCTCATGTTCCTCATACACCAATTGGGGCCTGAAAAGAAAATTGGGTCCTGGAAATGGTTGGAAGCTCCAGCCTCGGATTCCCACTCGACCTTCTTTTCCGAGGCCCGAGGAAGCCCGGGGCCCAACTTTTGTCGTTTTGTCGGAGGTGTGGGGCGCGTCACTCCTGTGGACTTTTTTTTTGTGGGGAGGACCAGTTTAGTGGCAAGCAGCAAGTTGTTTAAAACACTTTTTTTTGGTTGGCAAGACCTTCAAAGACAAGCACAACACAATTCCTGACCAATGCGCTGTGGAAGGTCGGAGATGGAGCGAGCTTCACCTTCCGCTGACCTTCGCCAAGGGAAGCCAAACTTAGAACCCTTGTTTGCTCCAATGGAAGTAACGTTTCAACAGGACGGAGTGCCAGGCGTTTTTCGAGGTTCACCCGGGTGACACGAACGAGGTTCTGATCAGTTCTTGGGATCCCTTCTGCCAGGTGGAATTGCAACGTGTGCAGATTCCGGGTTGTGGGAATGGGTGGGAAGTTGTCTCTCCTTTAAATGAAGAGTTCGTCGTTTGGAAGGGCTTGCATGTGCAATCACGGTGGGGATTTTCCAGTGTTTTAGGGGTTGCTTCCCCATTCTTTTGAACCATCGTTCTTTCAACAAACAGCCGTTTTCCCTGGGTTTCCGGAGGTTTTCTAGAAAGAAGGATCCCTGGAAAGAATGGGGAAGGTACCCCTAGAAAAGTGTGTGTGTGTGTGTGTGAGTGTGTGTGTGTGTGTGCTTGTTTGTGTGTGCAGGTCAGTCTGGTGGGCACCACAGGGTCGCCTGCTCGGATGATCGAATCGAGGCATCCGCGGCATCCGCGCCTGCGCCGCTGGTGGATGCTTTCTGCGATGGCATCACAGAGTAAAAGTCCCGGCCGGATGCCTCTAACAAACTCGCTCACCGTTGTTGAAGGTGCTTTCCTGATGGGGTATCGTATTTCCAACTTGGGAGTTGTAGCATCCAAACACGCCTCGCAACAAATTGTTTCTGTGACGCGGCCTGTCAAGGTGGCTTGTGAGTCAATATATTGAAGCGCCCCCTCCACCAGAAATTCCGTGCGCTTTTTCGAGGGCAGGGCGGTGCTTTCTCAGAATCCCAGGATCCTTCTTGGAAGGCTGGCGCAAGTACCCTGCCCATTGTGTTCCGGGATCCTCCTTCGGAAACAAACGTTGGAATTCGAGGGGTTCTTGCGATTGGAAGAGAATGGGGAATCAACTCAAGTCTTTAATTGTAGTTGGTTTAGTGGGAGTTCACTATTAGTCAAAACTTTTAGCAGGGGGTCTGAAAGCGGACAGCCCCGATTCCTTATTTCCACGTATGGCTGTGGCTAAAAATTCAAGAGCTAGGGTTACGCGGTTTTAGTCTTGGGTTCCAGCTAGCAAGGTGCCATTTTGGTACCGCTTTTTGGTGGGGTCTTGTATTCTTGTGGGTTGGGGGAGAGGGAGTGAGGTGGGCCCGGAGGTGGGGGGTGGTCTGCGTGCTATTTATTTTTCAAATATGCAGATGAATCCTCGGACGGCATCGGACAACGGCGCCTTCTTTGGCTCTTAGCATCCTTTGGATGGACCTGGCGCCGCACTGCGCGCGGCGCCTCAGCTTCTTTCGGGTGAAGCTCCGAATACGTAGCTGTTAGCGCTTCACTGCCAAACTGAGCTTGTCTGTCGTCTTTTTGCCTTAGCAAAGAAAGAAAACAATTTTACATGGTGTTTCTTGTTTGATTCGCCAGCAAAGCGTTAAGATTTGGAGGGGTCGAACTCTGGCCAAGATCCCCAGCTAAGTAGCTGTATGGAAAGGGTGCCGAGTTTTCTCAGACGGGCTCAGCATTTCGTCAACTCTTCAAAGCTGGGGTTGTCTCTGCAAATGGGATATGGGTGGGGCTCAAATTAAACAGGGGGCAAACCGCAGGTTTTAGTCCAATGGGTACCGGTTTTTTGAGCCACAGCCATATGGAGCCCCCAAAAGGGGCTTCAAGGTCCCTTTGGTTTTCCCTGAAGCGCGGTGTCAGGGTCGAAACGCGAGGATGGTCATCAGGTATTTGGGTTTGGACTTTGGTTCGCAGCGCAACTAAGGGAGCCACCCGCAAGCAACACATTCTACAGGGCTTGAGTGACTCATCTAGGTCGCCCTTTCTCACCCGTGTTTTGGGGGGAGGGTTCCTCTACTAGAATAGACTACAGAGAAAAAAGGTTGGTACCCTTATTCTAACCTCTCTACTGGAGGACCTAGTCATCATGCTTGTTGTTGGGAAACATGTTACATTTTGCTTATTATGGTTTAGTAGGAAATCCAACCACTGAACTGCTAAAAAACAATATTTTTGCTCCCCTTCCAACGTCAACGCTTTCATTTGAAGACCTTCTGACTCCGTTGGAGTGGTTTCCTTCTCGGGCTTGACACGTCCGGCCAAGTGACACAAGCCAGACCTGCTGGTGCCCTTTAAAATCAACGATCAACAGGTGCCCTTTCGCTAACTCTTTTGGCTGACCACCTTGCGCTGGCTTTGGGTCTTGACGTTAGGATTATGAGCATGATGATGATGATGATGATGATGATGATGATGATGATGATGATGATGATGATGATGATGATGATGATGATGATGATGATGATGAGCATGATGATGATGACGATGAGACCAGTTCTTTGACGCCGACATTTGGAATTGGATGGCTACAAACAGCACAAGAACAAGCTCAAGGAGAATCCCCTCTCGCAGATCTGCACCCAGATCTGCACTCTGAGGGACTGGGATTCCACTACGATGCAGAGACAGTTCCAACAGCCACCGGGTGCACATCGTACTTGTTTTTTTCCCCCTTGTTGCTTCTAAAAAGAACTTATCACTGGACATATTTGTATTTTTTCCAGGGGTCTTAACCAAATGGAAGCTATGATCGGTAGCAAGTTTATACCCTGTAGTTTCTAAGCCTTGAGGATGAACTCAAAGCAGCTTGGGCTTGTCTTCCGAAAAGGAGGGTCACAATTCAACTACTCAAAGAAGAGGGACACTTTGGGTAGGCACCCAACTAGCGAGCGCTTTACTCACTTATTGAGCTGACCAGCCAGATCTGTGCTTTAAGACTGTTTGGCCCCTGACTAAAATGGTGAATCCAACACGTCCATTTGCTTAAGAGCTTTAAAGGAATCTATCACTTCTGGACATCATTTCTCATTTTTTTGAGGGGGCACCAAGTACAAATGCAAGAACGGAAAGTTCAAAGTCTGGCAACGTCAGGTACTTCTTTTGGCTTCCCCCGCCTTTCTACCCGAACCAACCGGAACCGAACCTCCTTCTGAAGCCTCCCTGAAGCCGCCCCTTGCGAGCCTACCTGGGCCTATTGCCCCCTCAAATCGCTTTCAGCGGTTGGAAAACCGTTCCAACAGGGAAGACTTTCAACCCGAGTTTCTTTGTTCCTTTTGGTTTCCTCTGAAAGCCCACCAAAACGGGGTTGACAGACCCATTTACTTTGTTCTCCCCCCGCCAAAAAGAATAGGCGCCCCAGCCACAGCGGTGACCGCCGGTTTTTCGCGTCGAGGCGCCAGATGCAGCAGTGCCGGGGAGAGCGGGGCCGCCATGGCGACGAGAGGCGCGGAGCCCCGGGGTTCCAGGGCCTCCTACTGTGGCTGGACGAAATCCATTTCGCACCACTTTGAAGCCATGGGAAACCATGACGTTTGTTGGTATTTGCAGCGAAATCATGTTCATTCCAGGGATTTTTGGGTGGTGCAGGATTTTGTCCATCCACACCTTTCTCCCTTTTTTTTGGGTGGGTTTGGCTTCCCCTACTAAAATAGACAAAAACAGAAAAGTGGGTACCCTAAACCCTCACCTCTCTACTGGAGGACCTAGGGCTCTATCCCTCCCTTCCCCCTTTTCTTTTGGGGTTTTCAGGGACATGATGCAGGTTCAATGAACGTTCCGAGGATCCAATAAGCTAAACAAATACAAATAGAGCAAAATAATAGAACCATGAAGTTAAACCACCAGGAAGGAAAGTCAGGTTTTAGTCCTTTCCATTTACCAGGGTAGAAACAAAGGAATACTTCCATTTGTAGAAGATGCCTGTTAATGTTCCCCTGTTGGTTTTCAAGGGAATCGAACCCTGAGGTTTCCTCCTCCCCACTTCCCAGAACCTTACAAAGGAATAGTTCCGAGGGCCAGGAGACATCCCTCTGAGCCCACTTCTGAGAACTTTACAAAAGAGCCATGAGGAGACAACCCTTCCACAATCCAAAGGCCTTGCTTAAACCCGAAGTCGAGAATTAGGCGTTTTGTTCGTGGGAAAGGTTCGTGGAACCCTGCAAGGGTTAGGTTTCAGAGAACCTTTCTGAGGGGGGGACCGAATGTTTCTCCTACTGGGCCCATGAACGTAGTTGCTTTTTTTGGGGGAGGACTGCGAGAGCTTGGATCAACATGTTTTGGAGTTTATCCTGCCCCCGCTATGTAGAGACCTCAAAGTACACAACAAGAGCATGTTTAGGGGCTCTCAACATGACTTGTTTGGCGAGTTGCTTCCCTTGAAGCCACGATTTAGTGGGGAGATTGGAGGATGTCACACACACCGACACAGAGAGAGTACTTCCGCAGATCACCATGCAACCCAGCAAAATCGTTGTTTTAAAGGAATGTTGCACTGGAGGAACTGTGTTTTGGGTTCCACGTCAACCTGCAAAAGAGTGTCGCATGAGATACCACCGGGACAATAGTCATTGTTCAACAATTGAACAAATCCACTGCAACTTGACGAAACACTCACACTAATTGCTTGTTTTCCCAACAGCCAGGATTCCTGACACTTGGGGTTGCACACTCAAATTGAGATTTCTTTGTGTGGGTCATTTTCAAAGGGGATGTCCTCCTCAAAGCGGCAGATTAGTGGGGAATAGCCCGGAAAATCTCCACCCGATGCACATCATTCCCTCGCTCGTGAATTACGACTCCTTGGGTTTCACGGAAGTCAACCCCGCTCTAATGATTTGGGTACTTCTCCAGGAAATGTGGTCATTTTAGAGACATGCTTTATTATTATTATTATTGTTATTATTATTTATTATTATTATTAGAATTATTATCTAATTATATCATTATTTATTATTATTATTATTATTATTATTATTATTATTATTATTATTATTATTATTATTATTATTGTTGATGACACACCTTCCAAACGTGGATAGACACGATTTGGAACGGTTTTTTTTTGCAAGTCCAAATCACATCTTCACCTCACCGCTTCTGCGGCGGCCGCCTGCTCTCTCGCAGGCGAGGCCGAAGATCGACCTGCAGAAGATGTGGAGGCGGCCGCTTGGAGCCTAATCCGTTGACATAGCTGGTAATCTCCAAACCTCCCAACTCACTCGACACCTTCCCGTGAAAGGAGGGCTGGGCATGTGAATCCCAAAGCGGAGGCAAGGCAAGCAACGCAATCAAAAGGCACCAACCCCCTTTTTCAGGTCCCCCTTGAGGCCGTTGATTCTTTATGCCAGAATCAAAAAGTCCAGCCTGGGCACCAGAGAGGCAGAGCGGGCAGATCTGAAACTCCGGGTCGGGTGAAATTGGTGAACAGGGCAATGTTGCGCGGTATCAGCTGCTCCACGAACTTTCAGAAGATTGCACCTGCACGGAAACCTGCTGAAAGACTGATGTCTTTTTGGAGAAGTGGCTTCTGCCCTTCTATCTTTGCAAGAGAGTAAAGAAGCCAGGGTTCCCGGTGTTTGGTGCCTGGTCCCTCACGAAAGCCGCTGGGACTTCCACATTCCTGCTTGTGAGATGAGCCGGGGTCCTTCTGCTTGAATCAGCTTTTGGTTGCCATTGATTGAGTTCCCCTGATTGTTTGAAGCGGAACAAAACAGGGCCAAAACAAGAAGCCCAGGACCAAAACAAGCTTCTTGCCAACTTTCCACTTGCACTGTGCTACTACTGCCGCTACCACCGCCGCCGCCACCACCACCACCACCACCTCCACCACCGCCGCCACCACCACCTCCACCACCGCCACCACCACCACCACCCACCACCACCACCAGCAGCAGCAGCAGCAGCTCCAGCACCAGCACGGCACATCAGCCGCGAATCCCCCCCGCGAAGACTCGCTCGCGGAAGACTCCGCAGGCCTCGGCTGAAGGCTTGGCGCCAGTCGCTTCCCCCAAGGGGATGGAGCGGGTGCGCTCCAGCCTCAGATCGGCGAGTGTGCCCAAATCCACCAGTTTCCCGGTGGCTTGGGGGCGTTTGGACGCCCACATTTTACATTTTTGCTGATTGTGGTTTAGTGGTGGAAATCCAACCACTTAACTGCTAAAAATCGAATTCTTGCTCCCCTTCCAACGTCAACCAAGAGGTGTTAGCATCTTGCCCATGGGAAAAACTGGGGTGTGGGGCCAACATGGTTGCCCATGAGAAAAGCGGGAGGGCAGGGGGGTTGGAGGTGTTCGTTTCGAGAGCTATCAAGTTGAGAGGTTGTCTAGGCTAAAAGAGGGGATTCTTTCTGGGCAGTTGGTTTACAATGAGCTTACTTGGGGGGCAAAGCGAGCTCACCCATGATGAAGGTTCCTTACTTCAGATTGGTGAGTACTAATGAAATGGGCTCACATGGTGGCTGAGAGGTGGCGCATTGTGCCAGCCGGATGCAATTCTTTTGTGGGGCCTTTTTTTTGTGAGCTGGTACAGAATGGCGGTCTCCCTTTGGGCTTTCCTTTAAACCAACCCCAAAACGGTACCCGAAACAGGACACACCCATACTGTGCATGGGCGAACTCCTGCACCACCTAAGAAACTTTGGAATGATCTGATTCCCCCCGCAAATACCAACCCAAAATGGTGTCAACCATGGCTTCAAAGTGGTGCGAAATGGATGTCGCATCCATCCACAGCATGTCATGATACCAATGTTGCATTTTTTATAGTGTGAATCAAGATGCACATGAGGTCTTCTGCTTTTTAGCTGACAAGGATCAGCCAGGATCGACTAGGATGATGTTGGAAAGGGCTGTCGCTATGATTCCACATTTCATCATAATAGCTACTCAAAGGAGCCACCATCCAAGGGAATCCAACCCTGAAGCAACAAATGTGAATGTTTGGTTCTCTACTGCATTTGTTTTTTGATTGGGATCCGCTGGGTGTTGATACGCGGCATATTTGACGCATGAGCATTCTCCGCGCTGTTGATGTGAGGGTGTTTGTTCGTGAACCTCTCTGTTTTTCCAGCTGTACCCCGCCCCCCCCAATTCTCTGCAGAACATGGCCATACAGCCTGGCTGGCATTGTTGAAAATGGCCATGGACGAACCCTTCGAGTTGCTTCCCCCAGACTGGCATCGAGCGGGGCCGCGTGTGTTTTGTTTCTTCTTTTTTTATATTGTTATTATTACTAGTATTATTATTAGTATTATTATTAGAATTATTATTATTATTATTATTATTAATTATTATTATTATTATTATTATTATTATTATTATTATTATTATTATTATTATTATTATTATTATTATTATTATTATTATTATTATGTGTTTATTCTTTTCTTTTTTATTAAGTGGCTGAGGTATGGAGCAGATCAGCGCAGGACATGGGTGGGCACCAGTTGGAGATGTTGGCTGTACTACGAAGACGTATTTGGAGGTTCCCTTCCCTTCGAACCCACCATTTAGAGTCTAAGTCTCAGAATGTTATTTGAAGTACTCCAATAGTTGAGTCTTCGACCTTGAGCTTGTTGAGAACCTGCGTTGTGCAACTGCCCAACAAGGAAGTTTTGACTGCCCCCAGAGGCTCCGTGTACCCCGGGCCACTCTCCTTTTTGTTGAATGGAAGATGGGCTAGCGAAAGGGGCGCACAAGCGCCCATGCTCGTTGGGGTACTCGGCAAGGCCGGTCTTGTCTACGTCCCCCAGCAGTGCCCTTCACCCCTTGTTTTGGGGGAGGGTTCCCCTACTAAAATAGACTACAGACAAAAGTTACCCTTGTTCTTGTTCTGGCCTGTCGGCTGGAGGGCCTGGTGGCGGTGCACACATTTGGTCTGGTCGTCTATAGTCCATTTGGGGTTTGGGACGGATCTAGATTCTAGCCACAAAAACCATGAAGATTCGCACACCTTCTCATGTCCGGCAACACAAATGTTTGTTGTGGCTGGTGAACATCGGATGGAGCTATTTCAATCAGTGAAACAATTGACAGAGCTGGCCCCTCGAACAAGGACAACCCTTTTGTACCAGGCCAACATGAAACCGATGTATTCGTCCCCAATGGGTTTGGGAACGAGAACTTGCATTCCGCGTTTTACCAATTCAGGAGACACGGGTTTTGGAACGCGCGGCTGGACCAAAGCACGTAACATTTGCACGCCCTTCCGAGAGATTCATGACGAACTCCTCAAGCCAATGCCTCTCGATTTTTGGCTCACGGAAAGACGTGTTTGGCACTTGCTTCCTGTGGCTTTGGAACAGACTGACATGAGCTTATGCCAAAACCTCTTGTTCCCCAACAGTTTAGCTATGGATTTGGCCGATAGGCCCAGATAGGCGATAAGAGGTGGTTTGGGGCAGCTTCCAGGGAGGGTTCTGAGCAGGTTCTGGGGCTGTTGCGGATGCCACCTGTGCGTGATTTTGTTTGGTGGGCTTTCTGCTAAAGATTATCAAGCAGCAACCATATTCCATATATCACATACCATTCTTGTGCCAGTTCACTGCACAGTTGGGCGAGGGTCCCATGGTGGTGTGAAAGGCAGCACTCGGTATGTGTTTAAACATATTTGATAGCTCTTTCTGTTGGTCGGACGCGTCGTCCGGTGATTCCGCTTCCCCTTGCATTTGCATTTGGGCAACCAAGGGAACCGCCATTTCAATTCTAAAAAATAATACGTAGCTGGTTACCTGCTATAGCGGCTTGGCTGGCATTGAGCACGGTTTGGTTGTCTCATCACTGGAGTTTGCTAGCCAAACCCTGTCCACAAGCTCAAAGGTGCTCCAACGTTTTAGCCGAATCCCAAAAGCTCCAGTTTGGATGGCCGCTCTTCCCGCAGGACCCGTAGACTTTGTGGCCAGGTGTGTACAGGCTTGGGGGAGCCAACCGACCCGGGGGGGGCAGTTTGTTCGTAGCGAGGGTCCGGGTATGTTATCCCCCAGCGGGGTTAACTCCACAGAAGACTTCCCATAGGGTTCACTCCACTTGGAAGACTTCACAGAGTGGTTGACTTAGGTTATCCTGAAATATCAACTTGCTATCCTGGCCGGGCATCCAGGTACCTAGGCTATTACCCCATTGGAGCCCACAACCGGGGTCAAGGAAATGGATACTCCCCGACAACACAAGTCAAAAATACCATCTGCAAGGGGCCGGGTACGTACCATTTTGGTGTTCAAAATCAAGACCTATTTCAAAGGGTTTTAGGTTTTCTGTTGAGCCAGCTGATTTGCGGGTGTATTAGGGGACCCTGCGCAACCCTTACAGGTCCCTTTGCTCCCTGTTCTTGGACCTCCAAGAGTTCAGTCTTGCAGTGAACCCACCGATACATTGCGCAACTTTCGAGGAGGATGGGATGGAGGTTTGCAGATAGAGGTACTGTCTCATTTAAGTAATGAAGGAGCTAGCATGAATCCGTCGCCTCTGTTTTGCAAAGGAAGAGAGTCAGCTGTTTTCAAGGCTTCTGATATTTTCTTGTTCTTTGTCTTCTTTTTTGTTTTGGGGGGGGGAGGTTTAGCATCATCACCCGGTACGTGTTGAATGGAGTTTTCGTTTGGAAGGGTGACGTTTACAGGGGACAAACTACGTGCAATCAGGCAAATCAGCTGATAGGTTGCCTTTGTAAAAAAGTGTTGATGGCTCATCGTAGCTGTGGCAGCCCAATCTGCGCAGATAAGGTGGTCACAGATTTGCGGCAAATTTTCACAGATTCCCAAAAAGCTACTTCAGAATTGTGAAGACAAATTTGCCCAGATCCCCCTTTGCCTTGTGGCTTGCAGGGTAAAGGCTAAAGAGGCTGGCATTGTGTCAGGGGATTCCTTACTGGCTGCGCGGAGACCTATGTGCCTGATGCCACTAAACGGGACACATGGGGAATGACGTATCGTTGCGTGATGCTGATCAAGAAATTCGAGCTGAACCAGTTTGTTTTAGGCAATCAATCCTGCGCCCAAAATCGCAGTTCCCCCCTGTCCCCTTGGATGTTCGACCAGCAAAATGAGCGCTTAGCCACTTGCACTCATGGAGCGCGCCGAACATTCGCCACGGGTCTCGAGCGTTGCGTGGCGCTTGGAGACGCCTCGTTCGAACTCGCCTCGAAATTTGGGGTGGTGGTGTTTTTGGGTGTGCCGCGGTGTGCCTTTACAACAGTAGGAAACATCGAAACATGGGAGTAGCGGCAGCCAAAAGATGAAGGCTAAGACAATTCCCCCAAGAGCGCCAAAGTCGCAACAAGTGTCTCGAGCGTCGCTCGAACTCAGGGCCTCTTCGCCGGGCGCTTCATTTACATCAACCGGACGCCACAAGGGGAGCTCTTCGGCAGCGACCGCAACAGCAATGCGCGGAGCCCGGCGAGCGGGCGAGCCGAACTTGGGGCAGGGTGCGAGCCAGCCGTCAGAGATAAGCAACACGGAGACGGCTTTGTGTTAGGTCCTGAATTGGAAGTTCACTGTTTAGGGACTCTTTTTTTCTACCCTTGTGCGGGGGTCAACATTCTCTCACCGTGACACGGGCCTATTTGTTTGGAATCTCTGTGGCTTTTTGCGAACCTAAGGTTCACCCAATATGGGTTTGTCTGGCAATTAGGCACCAAGCAATGGCATTCAGCATTCCTCGTAGTTACTCCTAAAATCCAACCAAAAGGGGTTTACCAAAAACTGGAGACCCCCATATGGACCAGAGTCAACAATTCAAATATACAAAAAATGGTTGGGGGCCGAAAGCTGAGTTAATTGGGTTGCTCTGTGTTTCAGTTTTGTTTGGGGGGTGACACCGCTCATTCTTTTTCGGTCCTCACTGCTGTTTCTGGGCGGTGCACTTACGCCACATGGGAAGGCCGAAATCAATTTCTCGGTATATCTTGGTTTGCTGGTTTCCAGCTAGGTCCCCCAGCAATTGGTGCCCGACCTCTCACCCAACTTTTTTGGTTGGGAGGGTTCCCCTACAAAAACAAGGAAAAAAATGGTACCCTTCTTCGAACCTCCCAAATCTGGAGGACCTGGTGCTTCCCAGCGTTTTTATTTGGTTTAGTGGTTGGGTTTGCCGAATTTAAGCAAGCCACTAACAGTAGGTCACTTCAGGAAATCTGAAAACGGACAGCCCAGAAAGGTATACCTAAAACGTGTAAAGAATCATGCCGTATGGAGGTCCTAGGTATGTAGACATGTGGTGCACTGCTTAGTTAAAAATATTTGTTTGTTGCAGTGGTTATCCTTTGGGCAAGAAGCCAAGCAAGGCACCGCGCTACCGCGGTGCAAGGCTGTCACGATGTACATCGAGAATGCGGGGCTGTCACCAAGCCATGCGGAGATCAAGCGGGGGTCTGAGAGTGATTCGATTGGGAGCCACCCCTATGTTGGGGGGTCCAAAGAACATTGGAAAGACGCAAGCCTGTGTGTTTGTGCAAGTGCGTGGGTAGGTGCGCGCGCAGGCATGTGTGTGTGTGTGTGTGTGTGGGTGTGCGTGTGCGTGTGCGTGTGCGTGTGCGTGTGCGTGTGCGTGTGCGTGTGCGTGTGCGCGTGCGCGTGCGCGTGCGCGTGCGCGTGCGCGTGCGCGTGCGCGTGCGCGTGTGCGTGTGCGTGTGTGTGTGTGTGTGTGTGTGTGTGTGTGTGTGTTTCTGTGTTTCTGTGTTTCTGTGTTTCTGTGTTTCTGTGTTTCTGTGTTTCTGTGTTTATGTGTTTCCATGTTTTTGTGTTTCTGTGCTTCTGTGTTTCTGTGTTTCTGTGTTTCTGTGTTTTTGTGTTTCTGTGTTTGTGTGTTTGCGTGTTTGCGTGTTTGCGTGGTTGCGTGTTTGTGTGTGTGTGTGTGTTTGTGTGTTTGTGTGTTTGTGTATGTATATACTTGTGTGTTTGTGTGGTTTTGTGTTTGTGTTTTGTGTGTTTGTGTGTTTCTGTGTTTGTGTGTTTGTGTGTTTTTGTGTTTGTGTGTTTGTGTGTTTCTGTGTTTGTGTGTTTGTGTGTTTGTGTGTTTGTGTGTTTGTGTGTGTGTTTGTGTGTTTGTTTGTTTGTTTGTTTGTTTGTTTGTTTGTTTGTTTGGTTGTTTTGTTTGTTTGTTTGTTTGTTTGTTTGTTTCTTTGTGCCCGTCTTTTGTCAGAAAAGCCGAGTCTGGGGTCCAGATGCCAATTTGGACACCAGCACATGGACTCTTATGGCACGGTCAGATTTCTAAAACAACAAACGTGGCTGTTGGGGAAGCTCCTCGCTGAGGGTCTCCAAATGCCAATAGCCATGAGTAAAGGGTGAGCAAGCTGCGCTTGATGATTCCCCGAATGGGCCGGAGCAATCCGAGGGGTATCCACTAGTTACCTCGAACCACTACTCCCAATTGAACATGGTGCATAAAATCTATACATACAGCAAAGTATACTGGGTAGATAATAGTTACATACCGCATTTTTCCTGCGAGCTTGCAGTTTAGAGGTGGAAGGCATCTTGCAGACCACGTGGATGCAAGGTTCTTTTGGATTGCCCGCTCACTCAAATTGCACGACTCAGTGTTTGGTGAGTCGGTTAGCTCGCAAGGTGCTTTCAGACCTTTGCGTGGCGTGGACTGGGCGGGGTCCACCAGGAAGTCGCGGTTTCAAGGGTTGGCTTCGGGAGCTGGACAACAATCTTGCGGTCGAAGCCCTTGCAGACCCAAGGTCGCGCTCACTAGAGGGAACCGTTTTTTCCCCAAGCGGCCTTTCGTCCGGGCTGCCTTCTTAAGTTCTCGAGGTCATGGAGGTTCGGGTCTTGAAGCCCATGCAACGCCAATGAGTTGGCGCGCAGCTTTTCTCCATTCTACTTGTTTCAACTCCCAGACCTGGTTGCGGAAGAACGCCTCGAGCTCCTTCTCGGCCTCAGCGAGCGCCGCCGGAAGTCGGGGCCGAGCTCTCCCGATGGACCTTCCGCTTCGCCATCTAGCCTTCAACTCCATCAGGGAAACCAACCAGCAGGGATCCAGGGAGAACCAGGGACACGGGAAGAGCCCCCTTAAATGCACCTTGACGAAGTTTGATAAGGGAAATGCCGCGTCCCCGCTCCCTCCGTATCCCCGCCTGTTCGTTTGTCCAACTTCAGAGCGCTCCGGACCAGCACCGCGTCACCCTCCACCGCAGGCTGTGGTTGCCGCACGCAGACTTGCACGCTGCGCGCGCAACGCCACCCTGGGAAGCCCTTGTACCCCTGCGAATGAACATAGAGCCCAACAAGTGCCCCAAAAGGATATTATTCTACACGAGTTACAATCAAAACCCGGGTCAGCGAAGGTTAGTACGGGACAGACCCAGCCAACAATAGGCAGATATCTACCCTCCTGATTCTTAACATGATTTTGCGTAGACCCCTTAGGCTGCAGGTTTTGATTGTGACTCAAATGTCTATGAATTTTGAGAGTTGGAACGGTGGACATGAACCCCCAGATGTCCGTCCGGGGCCCGTCGAAATTCACGCCCTAGTTCTTTGGGTTTCCACGTGAATCTGGGGAGTAGGTCTTGTCTTGCCGGCCGCTCGTTCTTCCGCTCAGGTTCAACGGGCAAACGTGTCAGTACTTCCTCCGGGCGGGCAGCTCAGAGACTGCGACCTTACTGGGCGTCAACACGGGCATCTCTTTTTTTAGGGGAATCCCCCCCAAAATGGTGGCTTTCCTTTTGGTTTTCCTTTATATACCACAAAAACGGGGTACCTTCAAAAAAAGACACCCACAGGGATTTAGACGGCTTTGGTGTACCCAGAACTTGCGACGGACGGCAAGCTAGAACATCATTTTGTGTTTTTCCATGTTCCAACTTGGCGTCCGTCATTGTGGCCCTTTGGACATTTTGAAGACATATGTGTGGCTTTGCCATAAAACCTACAAAAGGTCTAACAGCGAAGGCGGGCCAGACCGTGGTTTTCCTTGTTCGTTCCCTTTAAACCATCCCGAAGAGGGTACCCACAACAAAACACGCACCCTTATGGGCCAGGTGTGTGGAAACGCCACCTCCAACATTCTAGCAGTGGTGCTTGAATGTTTGGCCAAGCGAGTAAGCGGTCAGCCGCTTGGTTTATAACCCACTTGCAACAGGACAATCATTGACTGCAAGAAGGGACCGTAAGTAGGTGGTAGTTGTTCTCTTGTGCAGGATTCTTTCGGAGGTATGGCCTGAATAGCTCACGTGGCAGGTATGGCAAGCCTCAGTTAGATAAACGTAGATTGCACGAATTCGCAACCTTGCTTTAGCCATCCGCTTTATTTCGTTTAATTAGCAGGGAGTTGTGCCATCGATTTAATGAAAGGTGCCTTCTCGTAGTAAGTTCCCACTGGGTCTTGCTTGGATGTGTATCTTTTTGATGGTACCCGTTTTTGTTTTTGGCGCTGCTTTCACGGGAAGCTAAAGGAAAACCACCCTTCTTGGAGTTTCCTCAAAAAAGGACAGACCCATTTTCCTCTGGGCCTCTCCAAGATCCCCTCCAATGCACTAATCTCGGGCACCTCAGCGCGACAACTTCTGCAGAGGCACATCCCCTCCCCCAAATAATTGCTTGTCATTCTTTGGAGTGTCAACACGTGAATGGGCCGTGCCAACAAACCACCAACCACCTGGGCTTTTCCAGCGTGGTGCGCCTCGAGTCCCGCAGTAAGCTGAGCAATGCACGGACAGTAGGGAAGGGTCTTGACCAGAATTGCCAAGGGGCTGGTGCTTTTGTGGTTCTTTACCCTGAAATTGGGTAGACTATGGTAGACCCCCTTCAACCAAGCTTTGATTCTGACTCACTTCAGGAATGTGGAAGCCATTAACAATCCACAGGCCCGTTTGCAGCGCACGCGGCTGCGCACATTGAGGCTTGTTAAGTGTGCGGCAGTTCCCAAGCGAAGCCTTCTGTGTTTGGCGGCTCAAAAGCAGCATCCTTGGTGCTTTTGATTGTTCAATGCCTTTTGGGGGAGTTCAACGGAGAGACCTGTGTGCCACGTGCCGACGAATGTTGACCCTGGCCAGATTAGCCAACCCCAGTTTATTGACAGGGGAGTGTCCCTGGGTTTGGGGAATCGTCACTGGAGGGGAAAACCCCCAGTTCAATGACGTCAACATCACCTTGATATTTTCGCCGGCTGGTTTCGCCAGTGCCAGGATGCTGGAAGCACGGACGGGACCTGGGCCGCAGGCTCAGATCGAAGGAAGTCCACGTGGGCGATTTTGCCAATGGGTCAAGAGTTGCAGCTTGGGAGCCCTCCAAAAGGGCTCATGGCATCAAGCTTGCACGGGTCTCTCCGTTCTTTGTGGTCACATTTGTTGATCAATATTCCCTTCGGCCCCCAAATGACCGTGGGTAACTTTTCCCCATGTGGTTGACATATCGAATCCTTTTCTCCTAGTTTCCCAAGCAATGGTCATCCCCCTTATACGCAGGGGTCAAGTGCTCAGCTGCCGACTGAAAGTGGAGGCGGAAGGTTCTCCATATTGAGGGCCAAGCGAAAACCCCCGCTCGTGTGCGTGGGTGTCTTTTTTAGGGCTAGCTTGGTTGAAAATAGATGGCACTTGTTTAAATGGGTGTTATTCCAATTACCTTGGCTGTCCATTTTTCCAAAAGGCCACCTATGCTTGTGTGACATCGACCGAAGCGCCAAGGTGCGAATCAGATGGAACCGATCCGTGGAGATCGGCCCGGGCCAAGAGATCAGGCGTGGTTTTGGAGTCGCGATTCTTTGGGCGAGTGGATGTTGATTTATTTCGGGGGTTAGTTATTGGTTGCTTCGGGCCATTTGGTCTCTTTGGTTGCTCTGGTTGTTATTGGTTGTTGGTTGCTAGTTGATGTGGTTGTTTTGGCTGTTGGTTCATTGCGTTTAGGCTGTTGTTGTTGTTTTTTTTTTTTTTTTGCGGTTGTTGCTTTGTTGTGTTCCTAGGTGTGTTGGCTGCTTTGGTTGTGGAGTTGTTTGGTTGATTTTGGTGGTTTTGCTGTTTTGCGCGCACACACACACACACGTACATACTGTGTGTGTGTGTGTGGATTTTGCTGCCCTTAGCCAGCCGCAAATCGATTTCCTGCGGGTTTTGAAACTCAACAGTCTGCAGCTAGTTTTTTTTGTTTGTTTAATGTGACGTAGGCATTTGTTGTGGTGGCTTTCAAAGGCAGCAGGAAAGCCTTCAAATTTGAAGCTGCCCTTGGAGACAAAGCGCCTGGTCAGGATCGGGGACTCTTTGATCGAAGTGCGGCAAGGGAAGGAGATCACAGAAGCTGAGGAGGCCCGGCACTGAGATGCGTTTGAGAAACCTGTGACCAGGGGGTCCAAGGATTAGGGGTAAACCCTATAGGGATTGAACCCCCATTAGCTGAAGTCCAACATGTGGTCAAGGATTATGCCTGGCTTGCCAATGCTTTCCCAATTTGTGAGAACCAGTGCATGCGCGGGCATGCAAACACACCGAGTCCCTGGATCCATTCGGAGCGATCGCTGGAAGTTGCTTTCGCTCGCAGGTGGAGCAGTGGCTTTCGACCTACCAGCCTCTTGGGCTGAAACTGCTCGAGCTGGGAACTAGCGAAACATTCGGACGAGCAGCGCCCCAAGCCTACGATCACACCACCCCTGAGGTCATGCCACTCACTGAAATGCTAAAATGGTGAAGGGGAATCGGTTCGTTTGGCGAGATAGTAGGGAACTTCTGTTTGGTCCAAAGGGGCAACAGGCTATGTCACCACTCTGGAAATAGTCTTCAGAGTTTTAGGGGCGGGGGGGGGGCTGGGAGGCCTTTGCTTAGTGGCATCTAATTATCCCCCCCCAGATTAATGTGCGCAGAAGGGCCAAGCCGTACATTGTCTCTTTGAGGGAACCTGGCAGGCCCCAATCAGGGTGATCGTTGACCGGATGGGATTGCTGCACTTTGTCACTATGTTTCGCCTGCTTCTTTTTTGTATTTTATTCTTCAGAATTGGTTGGGCAGCAAAGAGGCTTTCTTTGGCTTCTCTATCCAGGCTTACGAGGATTGGCTGGAGCCTTTGGATAGCTGTTGTCGCAGATGGGCGCTCTGCCCCAGTCACGTGTGATTCCCGAGAATGCTACCTGGCACCTGGAGGTTGTCAGGGGCCTATATAGTCCTTGAGAGGAGCTTGTTTTTCAGAGGCCTCTTGCTCGAGCTATACATGAAATCTGCGTGTGGGGGTTCGGCTTCACACCCCATAGCATGCTGCCTTGAAGTCGTGAGGTGCCTGGAAGTCCATTTCCTTTCTGAGCCCTTTTGTCAGGTGTTTCTGGGCCCGGATCAGACATTTTGGGCCCGCAATGCCACTTCACCACTTGACACTCGAAGCCTGCCCTAATGGATGTCTCAATTCATCAAGCAGGATGAGGAGGGAGATCCCCCATGAGTCACCCTGTCCTGAATCCTTGGACCCCATAGTGAGTCTATGAGGTATCTGAGGAGAAGCAAATTGCCACGTAAGGGTTATGATTTGCACTCTTCCCGAGGCTTCAACGCTTCGCCCCGGCCTCGGATTCTCTCTCGGTGTCGGGGCGGGGCATTTGGAACCGGATGTGGTTAAGTGCTGTGCCTACAAGTTGTTTAATGAACTGACTATGATCCAGAATCAGAAAACCGTGGTCGGAGTTGGCCATGTAATGTTGACCCAGGATTAATAAACCCGTGCCATTATTAGGGGGGTGTTCCCTCCCAAAGTGGTCTCAATCCCCACTAAAAGGGGACACCCCCCGATCAAAATCAACCACGGGTTTATTAATCCGGGGTCAACATTACCAGCCATGTCAGTGCGTGTCGGATTTGGATCTGTCTTTTGTAGAAGCCCCCCTTTGTTGGTTGCAAAAAAGCGGAAGGAAGCGCGAAGCCAACCAGAAACCAACAACCAAAAACAACCGAAAACCAAAATCGGGAGGTCCCATCCAAGTGCCCCCGGGTCCAGTTTAATTCCAAGCAGTTAAATTCAAACTCTACACATACATAAGCAAATGATATGCGTGCAAAGATATCAGTTGGCACCTTCTGATGTCACCCATTCTGGCACTTAAACACCCTGCAAGTTTTTCTAGAGCAGTATATTACTGTGCAACATGTCATATATGTATGTATATATATATATATATGACACATAGACGTCCATTTGCTTAAGGTTTTATTTTTCCCTTTAAACAAAAAAACATCATTGTGGGTTTAAAGAGAATGTATCACTACTGGACATCTTGTTTTTCCAGGGGACTTAAGCATATGATTTGAGAATATAGTCTCAGGAAGCATAGGGACATCAGACATCTCATAAAATGGTGTAAGACACATCTGGAAATAACGACTATGATTCTTGTTGACTCTGTTGCTCTTAATCAGTATTTTTATCACATTTAATCAGACATGAGACATATTTATGACTCCATTTTGGGGCGGATGAACAGCCATTTTAGGGTTTTTTCTGTGCGGGATTTTGTCCATCCACATGGAAAGATCAGAGAACGAAGCGCGTTGACGGTGAATCCCAGCGCGCCTTCGCTGAGGCGCCGCTGCTCAGCGAGAAAGGCTTCGGGAGCCTCAGCTCGGTGCGGCAGCGCCTGCTGCAGGAGCTGCAGTCGCGCCTTGGATCCAAAAAGACGCGGAAACGCGGAGGCGCCGCTTTGGTCACCGAACGATTTTTGTTGATGTTTTGTCTAGGGGACGCTTCCCCACTCTTTCCAGGGATCCTTCTTTCCAGAAAACCATCAGAACCCCAAGGGGAAACAGCTGGTTTTCAAAAAGAACGATGGTTGAAAGGAATGGGGAATCAACCCCTAGATTTTAGGGTAGAATAAGTCAGGCTGGCTAAAATGAGGAAGCCAACACGAATAATAATTTTGGGTGTGGCTGTGTTTTTGGAGTTGGTGCCCCCTTTTTGGTGGTTTTAAAGGGAACCCCGAAGGAACACCAGTCAGTTTGGGAGGAAATTTATACTCACATTTGCTATTTGCGGCAACGAATATTGTGCTCATGTTCCCTTGTCTTTCTGCAAAGGGGATCCATCATACTGGACATATTTTGAATTTTGCCAGGTGGCTTAAGCAAATGGAAGTATGTTTTAGGGTCGACAAAGTATGAAGCACAATCTGAACTTATTATTTCTTGTGTGCCCCCGATGGCCAAGAAAGAGGCGCAGGGAACTAATGGATTTGTGGAAGGATGGCACAATTCCCCGCCTCATTTTTGCTTAGTCATCCCCAGTTCCTAGCCAGACAAAGGAATTTGTGCCATCTACTTTCCATTCAAAGTTGGAACAATTATGATGATCTCACCAAGGGCGCTTGGGGGGGAGGGGCCTGTTATGACTTAGCTACGTAGAGATATATTGACTAGTTTTTTTTGTTGGGATTCCCTTTGGTCGGTACTTAATTGGGTGACCTTTGCCTACCTTTTCCCTCAAAGCTACCTACTAAAGGGGGCTCCTCAAGACTGCGTGTGCAACCCATTCGGTTGGTCCATTGATCCTCGGATGACAGGCTTGTGCGTGCCTCCCTTTTTGGTACAGATCCCAAAGGCGGACTCTTTCAAGACAAGTGCAAGTTGGTATTAGGACTAAGATGTTTGCTGTTTGGTGGGTAGCTGTTGTTATCCAGGATTGGTTGCACGGTAATTAGTAGTTGTTTGTTGTTTGTTTGTAGTTGTGTTTGCTGGCTGGCTGGCTGGCTGGCTGGCTGGCTGGCTTGCTGGCTTGCTGGCTTGCTGGCTTGCTTGCTTGCTTGCTTGCTTGCTGGCTTGCTCGTTTGCTTGCTTGTTTGCTTGTGTGTTTGTTTGTTTGTTTGTTTGTTTGTTTGTTTGTTTGTTTGTTCATTCGTTCGTTCGTTCGTTTGTTCGTTGCGTGGAAACAACTAGCAGCACCATCAACTCCAGCGCAAAGTGCTGCAGCCCATTGTCGCATGAAGCTGCACCACCGACCAGCAACTTCGTGCTGGACCGTTCGCACACATGGTGTTGGCAGTGGTGGTCAGTATACGGGTTGGGTCAAAATTAAGCCACCAGGGGACCACAGGTTTTGGTCCATGTTTCCACTTGCCGGGGTTCCATTTGGGGGTACCTATTTTTGACCCACCTTGCCATATGCGTTGGGCTGGATCTTTGGGCCTGGTCAAGCCACCAGGTGGCCGGCTGGGTCAAATTTGAGACCAAGCAGACCTTGCGGCACTTGCCCCGGACGTCGGGACAAACGCCGTAGGGTAATTGCAGATCCCAGCCGCTGGCCTGGTTGGGCTGTGAATTTCAATGAGCCTAAGGTGTTGACATGAGACCTAGATGACGGAAGGGTCAGTTATATAAGTTGAATTTCATTTGCAGCCAAGAACCCGAAACCAAACAATTCCCCAGAAAAGGAACCCCATAGCTTCAGACGCACATACTTTGCATCTAGAATATATTGGCCATGCACCAAATACTCGGCAAATTGACATAGATCCCAAGAAAGGTCCCTTCACCAAAGGGAGATGTCACACTACCACAGATGTTCTTTTGCGGTTCATTCCGCACCAAAAATTCCATGTCTCCGACGGGCAAATAGAGAGAGAGAGGAGAGATTCCTCTGCAAATTGTAGTTCGGCTCCATGTACAATATATTGAATACAGAAAGTATCATCTGGGTATGGGTCAAAATTGGACCGCAGGTTTTAGTCGTTGGTTCCATTTACCCGGGCAACCCATTTTGGGTTTTGCGTACCCATTTTTGTCCCACTGCCATCTCCCATTTTCTCGTCGCCTTGGGCCGATCAGCCCATCCTTGGTCTCAGGATGCTCAGCGCTGAGCTCTCCAACGAGGACTACCAGTCCATCGAGATGGCTGCCAAGGAGCTCGATAGGACCGGAACCACCGCGCTCGGTGGTTTTAGTTTCCCCGTGCGGCGGCGTTTTTTTTGTTTCTTCCTTTTTTTTTTCCGTTTTTATTTTTTTCCTACTCCGACTTCGGGGCTGGCTGGCTGGAAAAGAGGCCCGTACACCGGAAACAGGCCCCACAAAGTGTTGGGGTTAGAAAGAAAAATGAAAAAAATCGGGTCCCCAAAAGGCCTTGACTCAAAGGAAGACGTATTGTCGCCTCTGAAACCGGCAATGGGTTCTTTGCCATCCAGACCAATAACGTCCTTATCGACGACCAGCAAAAAAATCGGGTCCATGGCCACTGGAGGGTTTAAAGGAGCCCAACACGCCCCCCCCCACCCACACCATGGTTGTCGTTGGGAAACATTTTTCCATTTTTGCTTATTGTGGTTGAGTGGTTGAAATCCAAATCCACTTAACTGCTAAAAAAATATGTTTTTGCTCCCCTTCCAACGTCAACCAAGCACACCGCCACACCCTCAAAGCTGGATGGGGTTTTCTCCAGTTATCAAGGCGGTAACTTCGAATCCTAGTTGGCTTTGCTAAAAAGGAGAGGGGTGCGGGAGTGGGCTTGGTTGAACTCCTATTAAATCCGGGACACTGGTGTCAGTCATCTCCCTTCAAGGGGGGCACGATGGAAGGGTCCAAAGGCGGGGAACACTCACTGAAGTAGCATGCCGGCGTTTGTTCATTGGATTCAAACGGACACCTTGAAGGAACTGTTTTGGGAGTTCCCCGTTTTGCAACAAACCTATGTCACTTTTTCTGCCTGTGTTCAGAAGCACCTTTGGTCGTAAAGGAGCTTCCATTCATAACAACCAACGAACCAGTTGCTGCGACCCTGAAAGGACCTAAAAGGACTTGTCTGTCTGACCGCATGAAAGCTTTCAGTAGTCCTTGGTTGCCGGCCATGTCGCCTCTGGACGTGTGCGATTCTTGAAATCGGCCAAGCTGTTTAAGTGGCTGCTTGGGTCAAAATATCAGGTTTGGGATGTTTTGCAGGGGCAGCAGCGTATAGGTTGGACAACAGGAAGCCAGGCCCCCCTAGAAGTGTTGACGCCCGGCTTGATGTTTCTTCCAATGAGCTGATGGTGTGGCCTGTTGGATTGGCCTTTTGCTTGCGTGCCTGAGACTGTTCGAGACCTCGGCAAAACATAATTAATCTATATATATATATATACACATGTTCCAGTCTTCCCCTGTGCAATGGTCATGCTCAGTCAAGAAGTGCGACAGTAGGGTTCATGGTCCCCCCCCCTGCCCCCCCTTGTGGGAATGGGGGTTGGGGTCTATGTTTGACACAGGCCGAAGCCCTTACTCTTGTTTCAGCATGGGTCCTTTGCGAACTCGGTGTGTTGAAAGTGTTTTGGAGTTTATAGATTCTCGTCTTGTTAGCAGTGTTTTTTATTCTTAAAGTTGCAGATTCTCAACCGGGGATGTTGTTTCAGCATAGGACCTTCTGAGACATGGGCGTTATTAGCAGTGTCATTGGCTTTACAGATTCTTACCGGGGACATTGGTTCAAGTGACTCAAAGGGCAGTCATCTGGGGGCGCAGGGCTTCCTGAGATTGCCAACCTATTCAGGCCAGGCCGATGCTTACCTGTAAGTTTATCTCCATTTTTTGGTCGCCAGATTGTGAAGCTGGCTGAAAGATCTTGTTCGTTCTCTGATGCTGCGCCACATGGAGATTCGTGTGCTTTCAGAGTGGGCGCGCCCATGCTGAGCCACATGGAGACATGCGTGGCCTCGGAATGGACGCAGCTATTCAAATTATAGCGGCTTTTGCGGATGCGCATGCGTGGCATGTCAACCCTGATGACGCCAGACAAAGATGCATAGTCAACAAGCCTGCCATTCAGTTGGTTGCGCAAGGCTTTGCCCGCGTGGCTGGAGCTTGCTGACACACATGGTTTGCACTATGTTTTGCTGGTTCCCAATATAGCTCCTGTGAAGAGGAAACACGGCAAGCAGGCCGCTGAAGCACGGTGAAAGCAAGCCCTTGATTTCTACATGCAGTTTGAGGGCCCTTGTTGCTGTTTGCTGCCTCTTAAGTTTTAGAAAAGAGTAGGGGCAACACTCTTGGGCTGGTCAACTGGGGCTGTGGGTAGCGTTGGCCGACATCGTGCTTGACCATCGATGGGAAGTGCAAAATGAGCAGAGTTCGAAACGGGGCCGTTTCGAATTGGAGGGTGTGCCCGTTGCAATTCAAGCTTGGGGAGTTGCAGGGATTGTATTCACAAGATTCCAGGTCGGCTGGGATGGGACGCTTTGGTACTGCTGGGTTTGTTGTGGGACTCGCTTGCAACCTTGGCACCTTGCAAGAAGCATTCCGCCGGAGGGGGGGGCTGGGACGGGTGACGGGATCATATATATATATACACATGTACATATCATATCTAATTATATATGTAGAGAGATCCGCTTTTATTTACCCCAGCAGTTGTAGAGCAGGGTTGCTACACCCCTTTGCAAGCAAACCTCCTGTGATTCAACTACCCAAGTCAGCGTGCCGTTTTGTAAAAGGGAAGCATCCACCGCAGGTCTGGGGCATATACCATGTGAAAACCATGGCATGACATGAGACCACTCTGAAGACATGAAGAACCCTGTGGATGGACAAAACCCTCACTTTGCACATGGATGAAACCCTGCTGCGGATGGCCGAATTCCTGCACCACCGAAGTATCCCTGGAATAATTCGATTCCCCTGCAAATACCCACAAGCCTTATAGTTTCATTCCCATGGTTTCAAACTGGTGCAAGCGAGTTTTCGCCACCATCCACAGTTTCCCGGGTGAACCACCCCAGGTGACTTGCTCCACTCGTTTTTTTCTCCAGGATGTGGCCGAGCGATGCGTACCCCTCCCACTGCCTCGAGCCAGAGCCCCAGAAACCCCACCGCAGGAAATCAGCCCGGCGGGTCCTGAAGTCACTCGCGATGTTTTGTTCTCTCAAGGAACCAACCGGGACCCTTGCAAAAGGGTTTCCAATGATGCCACTTTGTAGTGACTTTCCTTTGGGGTGATCTTTAGGACTTGTCGCCCGGTTGGCTTAAGCGTCCATTCTTTTGTTGCCGGGTTTTGTCCTGATCGATTTGTTGAATGCCTAGCAAGCTCATGTTGTTCTGGCGAGTGCTCGGCAAGTCAGCATCGTGTCGGAATCGCTTTCAGGGCGGCTCAGCAATGCTGGAACATTTGCATCACATTTTTGTATAGGGTTTTCAGGGAACCCTGTGTTTGCTTGGGGCGGGACCCATGTTTCGAAGAGGGGGCTTTACGTGAAACCTCCAACAGAGGGCAAAGCAACTCTCATGCTAGTGCCAAGAACATCTCCTGACAGTGAGGCCAATCGCAGCACGTGGCTTCCTTTTCAGACTGGTTTAACGTCAATGAAGCGCATGGGCAGATGGTCCGTGTACGGGGTCCCACGACGGATGACGGCTCCCGCCATGTGTCAGCCGTTGCTACAAGTTGGACCATTGGCTTTCTTTGTGCAAATCAGACCAGCCTCTCCATGATGATGACGATGATGAGGAGGATGATGATGACGATGATGATGATGATGATGATGATGATGATGATGATGATGATGGACCCCGTTTTGCCAAACCGCAACCAGTTTGTTGACTCCCCTTATACGGGCCCAAATGAGAGATTGGCAGTTGGAATGCAGGAATCGATCCCCTGCAATCCCGATCCCCCAGCAAAGGTCCTCCAAAGCGCTAGGTTTCTGGGTTCTATGCTAATGCCCAAGACATCTCCAACATACCTTCTGAGCATACCCCAGCTTCCCATGAAGATTCCTTTCATGTGGGATCCGGGGTATGCTCAAATGGTATGTTGGAGATGTCTTGGAATACTGGCCAAGTTCGTGCTCAAGGTCCAACTTGGCAGTCCAATTTGAGAAATCATCTTCCTCGGGGTTGTTTGCGCCACGCAAGCGCTTGCAGTGAACCAATCCGCGGATGTGCCTTTGGTCCTCCGTCGCTCGCTTACACCCCAGGCAGCCCCGGTCCAAGCCAGGCACGCCTAGGTCCCCCAGTAGTGCCCTTCTACCCTTTTTTGGGGGAGGGTCCCCTACTAAAATAGACTACAGAAAAAAGTTGGTACCCGAAAATTCTAACCTCTCAAATCTGGAGGACCTAGACGCCAATCCCGAGGTTCAGCGTCCGCCCGGCGGCCGGCTCCACGCCCGTGTCGGGGGTCAGGGCTCCCGAAGGCTGGATTTGTTTTCGGGTCGGCTGTGGCGTAGCACCAGATGAGGGCAAGGCGCGTCAGGGTTCCGCAAGCATCGTTTCCCGGTTTCGTTTTGGAGATGTTTTAGGGCAAAGGGAACCTCCCCGAGACTTCTGACATGTCAGATACGCAGTCCTTGAAGTTGCAAGACAAATATGAGTCCCATCCAACACCGTTTGAACACACGTCCTTTAAAGGAATGGCGGGCGTCCTATGAGGACTAGGTGAACTAGGGGTTCAACACAGAGTTCAGACTCAGCTCTGCAAGGGCTGCGTGGAGGGGTGAGTACCGAGGTTGGATGAGCAGACAGGGCTTATGAGTTTGGCCAAAATCCGGTGTTTTATGGTCAATGTGGGAGGGACATGGGGACGTTAAGTTTCTCCAAAAGCCAAGATGATTGTCTAAGTTGTTCATGTCCACTACGGGTAACATCATGTTGTTGATATGTTGACCGTGGATCATATGATATGGACATACTTTGAATTGTCACCACGGGAGTTTTTATTTGGGTAAGCTCAAACCGAAAGGAACACTGGATGTTTCTGCGGGAGCTGGTGTGTGCAATCATAGCAGCTTGAACATTTGCAGCTACAACCCCCTGGTTGAGTCTTGCCAACATGAAGAACATCGTGTTGTTCACCCTTGAAATTGCTTTGGATGCGCAGTTATCTTTGGATTCTATTCGTTCTTGCCCCTCTTCTTCCCGAGTCAATACTTTGTTGCTACTCTTTTCATATCCTGCAAGGGTGGATCCTCAAATGCCACTGTTTTCCAGGTTGACTTTCACCCAAACGAAAGTAGTTGATGCGCGCAGTAGTAACATGTACCTCCCCCCGCCTGTTGCAACTGGAGGGTGCCATTTTAGTGGCAACCAAACAAGTGTAGATTTTGGTTTGGCCAATCCACTCGTGCAGTGAGAAGGGGTTCATCCATGTTGACCCAGAGCCCCTTCCTCGTTCGCTGCCGTAAAAGCGACATTGGCTTAAGGGATTCTGCGAACCCCTCAGCATGTTTTCGCTTTTCTAGGGGTTGATTCCCCATTCTTTTCAGCCATCGTTCTTTTCCAACACCAGCTTTTTCGCCAGGGTTTTGGGTGGTTTTCTAGAAAGGATCCCTGAAAAGAATGGACATGGACGCTACCCCTAGAATAGTGGCACCCTTTGTGGGTCTTAAAGGGGCACCAAAAGGAAGCCAACCGCCAAAAGGGTGTTCAATGTCGAGAAACACCCATTTTTTCAGAGACATCCTCCGGGCATTGGAGGCGTTTCAGCGGACAGCGAGCTCTGCAGGATGCC